AGAATGAAGGAAGGAAGGTAGGAAGGAAGGAGGAAAGAGAGAGGGAGGGAGGAGGGAGGAAGGAGATGGGAATGAGAAGGAAGGAGATGGGGAGGGAGAGAAGGAAAGAAGGAAATGGAAATGGGAAGGAAGGAAGGAGATGACAAAATGAAGAGAGGAAGGAAAGAAGGAAGGAAGGAGATGGGGAGAGAGGGAAGGAAGGAAGGAAATCTGAATGGGAAGGAAGGATGGAAATAAAAAGGAAGGAAGGAAGAAAATAAAAAGGAAGGAAGGATGGAAATAAAAAGGAAGGAAGGAAGGAAATAAAAAGGAAGGAAGGAAGGAAGGAAATAAGAAGGAAGGAAGGAAGATTTGGGGATATGCATAGTGCCTTCTAAAAGATTAATAATAGATATGGGATTCCTCTTAGAACTGAAAGCACTCAAGTGTGACTGATAGATTTCACTCCATAGACACACACCATCACACTATGGGAATGCAAATATTTACCCGCCTGAACCGACACAAATGAAGAGTTCACTTAGAGCTTTCAAAATCATTTTTAAGATAATACATAGGAATCAGATGAAAGACAGTGAGCTGCTGCAAAACCCACTGAACGGGTGTTTTTTGCTGATAGCCCTGGCTAAAACATGAAAGGGCTCCTTTCATCCTGCACTGACTCTAAAGCCTTCAAAGGGATTTCGCCAGAAAGAAATCCTGCAGTTCCATGAAATGAAGCCTGTAATTTTCAAGAATTTGAGTTAGGATTGCCAAAAGCGTGTGGCTCCAGAAGGATGGCTATTATTTCCCGGTAGCCTTGCATAACATGCAAACAAACAAGCAAACAAACAAACAAAATCCCTTCCTTTAAAAACCCAGTGAAACAAAAATTAGCGAAATTAGTAGAAACAAACCGTAAGCGTTCTGATCAATATCAGCTCAGTGAAGATTTTTTAAAACAGAAATTCAACAAAGAATTTCCATCTCTGTGCTAGACAAAACTTAATGTGGAGGAGTGCTTTCTCCTATATTACACCCTTGCCCATATTCCCTTCCTTTCCTCCATCCTACTCTTCCTTCCTTCCTTCCTTCCTTCCTTCCTTCCTTCCTTCCTTCCTTCCTTCCTTCCTTCCTTCCTTCCTTCTTCCCTCCCTCCCTCCTCCCTTCCCTTCCCTTTCAGCCAGTAGGTAAGTGGTTGCTGCTGGATGGAGGGAGCGAACAAGGGACTGCACGACTGGCTGGGAAACTGTCACAAAACATTGAAAACAAAGATCATGGGATCACCACAGCAGCCCAGCAGCAGGAGCCAATAACACTGAAGCAACCATAGCTTCCCCAAATTGGGAGAGATGGGCCCTGGATTTTGGATGCAATCTGTAAGTTAGTTCATTTGAGATACCTTGGTTCACAAATTATCTCTCTACGAGGCACCATTTCAGCTAGTTCAAGATCACAGCGAAAGTTTTGTTAGTACATAGATTCTCCACACTGTGCCTTATTTCGTACACTTTTCCACCTGATTTAGACATTTTCTCTGGCTCTGGGATATTCTTTCCTGCACCTCGGTTACTAAAGAATAAGGAAACCCCCAGAATTGCACAAAACAAATAAAGCTGCATTTGCAATTTATAGCAATGTGGGCAGTCTCAGGTCCCAAGACCCCTCGCAGTTCTTCACACACACACACCCCGAACTCTAATCACGATGAGTGAAAACCGCAAGGTTGGTTTTTGCCCTGTTGAAGCGCGAAGCGTGAGAAATTCAATGGCAAACCTTAGAAAAAATCTAAACGTAAAATTTGAAGCGAGGGGGAAAAAAAATAGCGTTCTTTCCCTCCTTTGCAAAGATCCTGGAAGAGAATCACCTTGAAAAGAGCCAGCCTACATGTGTGACCCAAAGCCGCTCTCTTTGAACCTTCCCTTCGTCCTTGCTTTCATCTTTCCTACAACCCCATCAAAAATATTAACTCTGAATTACGGCCAACGGCAACCCTTCTGAATACAAATCCCTGATTTATATAACTCTGCATGCCTGCTGCCTTGTTTTGCAACAGGCCAGGCAAAGGCTGAGAGTCGGTTTTTTCATGGCACCCCTGCCAGAACTTCAAGCTAGTTTGCTTTTTGTTAATCCCAGCCCTTTTTATATTCCTTCAGAGTTCCCGGGAAGAGGCAGTGTTAAGCTCTTTCAAACGGTTTTGTACACGGTCTTCGTAGGAACATCGCTTTGCCCTCATACTGGAAGCTGGAAGACAGCCTTCGGAAGCAAAGCTGAGGCGAAAAGCAATTTCCCAGCAATGTGCTGGTTGGTAGCTTAACAATCCCCTCCCTCACCCAGCAGGAACTGGAAATGGACACAGTTGGGAAGTACATTGGGCAAAAAGTTGACCTACTTAAGTGGCTATCAAAAGACTATTTCTGGAGTCCTTTCCAAAGCAAGCCCATCTGTGGCTGCAGAGGAGATTCTGATGCACGCTGCAACAGATCTTAGCTCAGCCTTTCCAGCTCCTGGAGGCTTTTAAGAAGAGACTGGAGAGACACTTGTCTGACGTGGTCTAGGGCAGTGGTTCTCCACCTGTGGGTCGGGACCCCATTTGGGGTTGAGCGACCATTTCACGGGGGTCGCCAAACAACGCAGTCTGCCATTTTTTCCCCCTTTTCCTTAGCTGTGCTACTCCCTTTTATTCTATTGGCTTTTGAAAGCCAATAGAAGAGACTCTCTTGAATAGAGTCTAATTCTATTGGCTTTCAAAAGCCAATAGGAATTGTCCAGGCTGTCTCTGCCCTGCTGAGCCCGCCAAAAGTCCCATTCTGCAAATGGTGCTGCACCAGTTGAGTAGTCCTCGACTTACGACCGGTTGAGTAGTCCTCGACTTATGACTGGTTGGGGGTCGCGGCATTAAAAAGGTTGAAAACCACTGGTATAGGGGTTCCTGCTGGTGCAGGGGGCTGGACTAGAAGACCTCACCGTTGGATAGCATATCATCAGCCAGTCGGTGCAGAGCAACTTGATTGTGCCTCATATAAGGAAAAGAAAGAAAGAAAGAAAGAAAGAAAGAAAGAAAGAAAGAAAGAAAGAAAGAAAGAAAGAAAGAAGGAAGGAAGGAAGGAAGGAAGGAAGGAAGGAAGGAAGGAAGGAAGGAAGGAAGAAATAAGGGGAGGGAGAAGGAGGGAGGAAGAGAAATGGAGGGAGGGAGAGAGGGAAGAAATAAGGGGAGGGAGGAAGAGAAATGGAGGGAGGGAGAGAGGGAGGGAGGAAGGAAGGAAGGAAGGAATAACAGAGTTGGAAGGGACATTGGAGGTCTTCTAGTCCAACCCCCTGCTCAAGCAGGAGACCCTATACCATTTCAGACAAGTGGCTGTCTCTTCTTAAAATCCAGGAAGGAAGGAAGGAAGGAAGGAAGGAAGGAAGGAAGGAAGGAAGGAAGGAAGGAAGGAAGGAAGGAAGGAAGGAAGGAAGGAAAAGAGCAATTCTCTCCTCCCTCAAATTGTTAATCCAGATTACCATAATAGTTTGGTGCCTGCAAGCAAATAGGTATTGCAATGCTATGTGGCTAGAAATTGGGAAAAAAGCTTGGAGCCCCCATTCAGAAGAAAGGGCAAACACATCTGCCTGGGCTTAATGTCGTTTCTCTTGCCTAAGTGAAAGGCTTTTCCTCTCCTAAAGGAAAAGTGTGAATGTAAAGCTTGTCTACTTCGCTTTGAACAGAATTCATAGTTGGACATGCAAGGTGCCAGCTGGGAAGGACCAACACCCTCAATGAAACAAGGAGGACAATGCTGTGGAGCGTAGGTTCAATCTAAGGATTCCTTGACCAAAATCAAATCTGCAAGTCCTTTTGCACAACACAGCAACAACAATAGCATTTAAAACTTATACACTGCTTCACAGTCTTCACAGCCCTCTCTAAGCGGTTTACAGAGTCAGCATCTTGCCCCCCCAACAATCTGGGTCCTCATTTAACCGACCGCGGAAGGATGGAAGGCTGAGTCAACCTTGAGCCAGTCAGGATCGAACTGCCGGCAGTGGGCAGAGTCAGCCTGCAATACTGCAATCTAACCACTGCGCCACCATACCATTACATCTGGTTTCCAACCAACCCTCTATAATATTGTCTTTTCATCCCAACAACCTAATGTAGCCAATGGAGAATGCGCTTTTGTTAGAGAAGAGGAATCATTGTTCAGATGTTGGTCTCTTTTTCACCAGATCTCAGTCTGAACATCCCCTCCCCAGGTCCCTGGTTTGGCTGAGGATGATGGTAAAGGAATCAGGAAGTGCCCCAATACTCTAAGCCTCCCTTCCTCAGAGCTGGGAATCTCTCCAAGACATGTAGCGCTGTCACAACCCCACCTGGCCCAACCGAGCAAATCGAGACTTATGGGTATTGTAGTACAACACAGGTTGGCGAAGGGCTGCTTTGAGTCTGTACCACGTTAGTGGTGCTTTCCTCCAGACTCTACGGCTGGCTCCAGTGCCTCTCGGGCTGGGACGGATAGGTCCTGTAGTCCAAGACCCAGCTGGGAGAAGAGACTGCTTCAGTTTTCCCACCCATCCTAAACCAAGCGCCGGTCCCCCCGCGGGCGGCTGCCGAATCCCATCGCTTGCAGCTGGAGCCAACCACGGGGCACAGGAAGATGGGAGATGGAGTCCGGCATCGGGAAAAGTTGGAGCTGGCGGCGGCGGCGGCAGTAGCAGCAGCAGCAGCGGTGCCTCCTGGTTCCACGCCAGCGCCGCCGCTCCGCTCCAGCCCAACGTGGCAAAGCCCAAGACGCAGACCGAAAACACGGGGGGAGCCGCGGAGTCTCTCCAGATCCTTCCTTCCTTCCTTCCTTCCTTCCTTCCTTCCTTCCTTCCTTCCTTCCTTCCTTCCTTCCTTCCTCTCATTCTCATCTCCTTCCTTGCTTTCTCCCTCCCTCCCTCCTTCCTTCCCTCTCTGCCTCTCTTTCCTTCCCACCTTCCTCCCTCCCCTCCCCTTCCTTCCTCCCCCTCCCCAGCCGCCCCCTCCCCCGTTCTCTTACTGGTCTCCTTCGCTCTCGCAGTCAAAGCTGACCCCCTTTTTCAGCCAGGCGGCGCGCCGGCTCCGCAGCTGGGACAAGGGGGCTGCCTCTAGCGCCATGGCCCCAGGTCCTGGGCTGGGGGGCGGCCCGGGACAGCGGGAGGAGCGAGCGAGCGTGCTGGGGCCGGCCGGCTGGCTGGGTGGCTAGCAGCCCGGCTGGCTGCCAGTCCCCAGCTGGGCTTCTTCTGCCTCTCTGCACCGCTTCTCCTTCCCTTCCAGCGCTTGGGTCCGCCCCGTTCGGGCGAGGGGCGCCCGGAAAAAAAAGAAAAAAAAGAGCAGGAGAGGGAGGCGATGGCGAAGGGAGAAGCCCCCGAGTTCCCATCCCCAGGCTGGCCCCTACCTGGCGCAGCTCCACTCTTTCCTCGCTTGCCTCCAAGCCCTTCGCCCGGAGGCTGAGTCTCTCTGCACATGCTCGGACGCCCTGGCGCGCCACTCACCTCGCCTTCTCTTTGATCTCACCCTCTGCAATCAATTCTGCTCACCATACTACATATATATATATATATATATATATATATATATATAAAGATGTTGAGACTTTGGGAAAAGTTCAGAGAAGAGCACCTACGATGATCCAAGGCCTGGAGACTAAAATATACGAAGAACGGCTGCGGGACTTGGGTTTGGCTAGCCTAAAGAAAAGAAGAAACAAGGGATACATGATAGCAGTCTTCCAGTATTTGAGGGGCTGCCCCAAAGAAGAGGGGGTCAACCTCTTCTGCAAAGCCCCTGAAGGCAGGACAAGAAGGAATGGATGGAAACTCATCAAGGAGAGACACAACCTGGAACTAAGGAGAAACTTCCTGACAGTGAGAACAATTCACCAGTGGAAACACTTGCCTCCTGAAGTTGTGGGTGTTCCAACACTGGAAGTTTTTAAGAAGAGATTGGACAGTATAAGGTCTCCTGCTTGAGCAGGAGGTTGGACTGGAAGACCTCCAAGGTCCCTTCCAGCTGTATTCTGATTGGAAAAGGACCTGGGGCAAAGGATTGCAGGAAACAGGAGCTGCATCTGGTTAGGTACGTTCACATGTGCGGAAGACCCACTGCTGCATTTAGAGAAGGGGTTCAGCCTGTCTAGCTTAACTGGGATGGTAGATCTGTTGTGTGTCTGAGCCTGTTTTGTCTACTCAACTTCTTGGTGTCTGCTGTGACATTGTGCCAATTCTAGTAAGTAGGGTCCACGGGGATGGTCAACACAACTACGTGGCATCAAGTTTGCTCTTGATGCCGCAGGGAAGGTCTCTGGCCTTGTGATTCCAGCTTTGCTTGAGAGTTTTAGAAAATGGAAAACAAAAATCAATGGCTTGGCCCGAGATAGGTCAATGCGTATTCCTTCATTTGTTTGTGGAGCACCCTTCTAAAAAAAAAAAAAAAAAATCAGTCTTCATAAAAACCTTGGCAAAGTCAGGCAACGCCAAGGCCAAATATAAGGCCCTGGTGAATGTTAACTCAAAGGCAGCTTCACCAAATCAAATAGAAAAAAAACTCGATCAGGTTTTCTAAGGGAATTTAGCACTGCTAGATGGGATAAGTGGAAGATTCAGAACCTGTTTCCACCGCCTTGGCCTTCCATCTTGGTAGAAAACCTCATCCCATGTCGGGGGATGATGGATCAATTTCCTTTGGGAATCTCAGTGAACCTACCACAACTCCAGAAGGCTTTTAACAATGGCTTGTTGGAACAAGCTTCAGAAAACATCAATTAATCTATATCAATCAATCAGAATAAAGCTGGAAGGCACCTTGGAGGTCTTTTAGTCCAACTAGTTTCCAGCAGGAGACCCTGCACCATTCCAGACAGGTGGCTGTCCAGTCTCTTCTTAAAATCCTCCAGTGATTAGGCGCCCACGATTTCTGGAGGCAAGCTGTTCCATTGGTTAATTGTCTTCACTGTCAGGAAGTTTCTCCTTGATTAGTTTCCATCCATTGTTTCTTGTCTTGCCTTCTGGCCCTTTGCGAAATAATTTGACCCCCTCTTTTTTGTGGCAGCCCCTCAAATACTGGAATTCTGCTATCATGCCCCCCCCCCAGTCCTTCTTTTCTCTAGACTGGCCATACCCAAGTCCTCCAACCGTTCTTCATACGTTTTTTGTCTCCAGGCCCTTAATCATCTTAGTTGCTCTTCGCTGCACTTTTTACAAAGGTCTCAACATCTTTTTTGTAATGAGGTGATCAAAATGGGATGCAATATTCCAGTTGTGGTCTTACTAGGGTTTTATAAGGCGGTCCTAATACTGCATGTGATTTTGATTCTATGTTTATAAAAGCTCAAAGCTGTTGTTCCTTAATCCCAACACTGGAGCTGTGGCTGTCTAAATATTTTGACTCTTTACCAACTTCTTTGGGCTTCAGGTGACTTGTCCTAAATAGCATAGTCTGCCTCTGCTAGGTGATATTTTTCTGGCCTGAATTGAGTTTCAAGGCAACTGGAAGTGTTGCAAATGAGATCTCCAGCTCTGCTTGATCCGACTCGATGCTCAGCTGAGAAGGGAGGGGGAGGAGAAGGGAATTAAGGATTATGATTATGATTAATTGCCCTGATCATGATCAGAATTAAAAAGACTCTCCCCTTCAGCCTTCCGGTAAACGCAGTTTTGGCCTGCCGCAGCAAGAGACGAGATGGAAACGAATCAACAAGTGGATAACGAATCTTGGGATCGACAAGATGGATGGGTTGTTTCTGGAGAATAGCCACGCACAGGAAGGGATTGCATTTTGGAAGCCAATCTTTCACCTTGAAGAGATTCGCTGGTGGAGAGAGCACGGAAGGGTTATCTCTGGAATTTTATTTGCAGAGGGCTTGGATAAATAGGCACCTCCAGGCTCTCCAACAGGTTGCAGAATGTTTGAGAAGCAGCATTTATTTATTTTTTTGGATCAAAAAGGAGTTTGGGGGCAGAATTTGAGTCAAAGGTCTGTTTCAGTGTTCTGAAAATTACCCTCCCTTTTTGTATTAGAGAGGAAAAAACAGGATTGGTTTAATATTTCCTGGGGTTCTAGAGAAATCTGTCACCCTCCAGATGTTGCAAATGTTTCACATGGGGTCCTTGGTGCTCTCTGAGCTGGGTTTTTTTCTTATAGACGTTTCATTACCCAGCTAGGTAACATCATCAGTACTAGCAGTGCTGACCTAGTTGGGTAATGAAAGATCTGCAAGAAAAAACCCCAAGTTCAGAGAGTGCCAAGGACCCCACAATCCTCCTCTTCCTTCTCCTCGATTCCACAAACCCCACTCCCTTCTAGCACTGATGATGTTGCTTAGTTGGGTCATGAAATGTCTGCAAGAAAAACACAACGTCAGAGAGCACTAAGGCCTCCTGCAGGTCAACCTTGAGGACAAATGTTCTCCTCCACTGATGTTTCACAGTGGTAGGGACAGTGAGGTTGTTGGTGATGGTTGTTGAAGACCTCAGATGTCCTTCCTTCCTTCCTTCCTTCCTTCCTTCCTTCCTTCCTTCCTTCCTTCCTTCCTTCCTTCCTTCCTTCCTTTTCCTTCCTTCCTTCCTTCCTCCCTCCCTCCCTCCCTCCCTCCCTTCCTCCCTCCCTCCCTCCCTCCCTCCCTCCCTTCTTTTCCATTTCTTTTCCATTTCCCTTCCTTCCTTCTATTTTCCTTCCCTCCCTGTCTCACCGATTCTTTCAATTCTCCCAAAGGTGCACTCCTGTTACCTGTCATAAGAATTGTGATAAGCCACGTCAGAAGCCACGAGAGGGCAGCAACCACACACAGTCAGGCACTTGAAAGAGCACTACGCACATCCTGCTTTTTATTTTCCTTTGCAGTTGGTTTGTCTCTTTGTATTAAATGCACCTTTCTCCCTTCCCAATTCAGCACTTAAGCCGTCCTATAAAAGCACGTAAGGTATTTTAAACAGATAAAACACTGCGGTGCTTTCCCACATGCCTTTCTTGTATTTCAGCCCTGACCATAAAAACTTTCTCTCCTTAAAGTCCACGGCAACATAAATTCTAATAGCAGCCAGCCCCAACTTGGAGCCCTAGCAAAGTTTTTTTTTTCTTTTTCCCCATATCAGGGAAAAGCAATCAGCTAAAGATTAACAAGGGGAAATGTGAAAAGTTGCAAAGAGAGATATACAAATATTCTGCAAGCGACCGGCTCGGAAAACCACTGTCAGCCTCTATGACATGTTAGTTCTTGCCTTGCTTTTGCAACATGGGGGGGGCAACACCCAAGAAAGTGCTTGTTATTGTGGTCATATCTGAACCGACAGATCAGCGAGGCTGGCTCTATCATTAGGGAAAAATTGGGCAGGGGACACATTCACCATCAGATCCTGGAATATTCACTCCCTTGCTCCATCTCTAACCCTCAAAGTTTTTTTTTTATCTTCTTGCCTGTTTGCACACGAACCATCCTCTTTCTCATGCAGCTGCTTTTTCCCAGAAAAATCACTGCTTTTCCAAGAAACATGCGTGACACACAAAGCAAGAATTCCCGCCGAACACGATCTGCGCTTTTTTGCCAAAGGATGTCTTTCATTTCTGTTGGAAAATCTGCTGGATTTTCCAAAACAAAGAGGATAGGTTCATTTCTAAGAGCGGATGTGTTTCTCCTCCTAAACTGCGGTGGAAACTGTTATTTCCCAATTGCAACACGCATCTTTTCTTATTCATGCAGAGGCTGGGATGCACATAACAAGAGTGTGACAATCCGGAATATAGTCTGCACAGTTTTGTTGTGATGCAGCGTGTCACTCCAGGAAGTCACACTATTTCTCGACTTAACGACCAAAATTGGGAGGGAATCGGAATTTCCACTGCTAAGCAAGAAGGTGGTTAAACGGATCGTGCCCAGTTTTACAACCTTGTTTTGGCCACTGCTGCTGTTAAATGACTCACAAGGTCGTTAAGCGAATCCAACTTCCCCCTCTTTGAGTTTGCTTGTCAGGAGGTTGCCAGGGACAACCAGGGACGCTGCGACCGTCATAAATGTGAATCAATTGCCAAGGGTCCGAATTTTGATCACGTGACCCTGGGGATTCTTGCAACGGTCGTTTAAGTGCGAGGAACGGTCCTAAGTCGCTATTTGCACTGCCGTTGTAACTTGGAATGGTCACTAAACCAAGTGTTGTAAGTCGAGGAATACTTGGACATGCCGGTTGCCAAGCAGCAGAGGGAGAGAAGCAACGGAGAACAAAGGAGAAATTTTCTGACAGTTAGAACAATTAATCAGTGGAACTACCTGCCTCCAGAAGTTGTGAATGTTCCAACACTGGGAGTGTTTAAGAAGAGACTGGACAGCCATTTGTCTCAAATGGTATAGGGTTTCCTGCCGGAGTGGAGGTTGGACTAGGTGACATCCAAAGTCCCTTACAACTCCTGTTATTCTGTTATTCTGCTATTCTTTTTTCCTTCCTTCCTTCCTTCCTTTCCTTCCTTCCTTCCTTCTTCCCTCCCTTCCTCCCTCCCTCCCTCCCTAATCACTGGAGGTTTTTAAGAAGAGATTGGACAGACATGTGTCTGGAATGGCATAGGGTTTCCTGCTTGAGGACTAGAAGACCCCCAAGGTCCCTGCCAACTCCATTATTCTATGTTCTGTTATTTGAGTTAAAGATAGTCTGAACAGGAAGGAAGCCCCAAATGTCACGTGAGTCCTTTAAAATAGATCACAACAGCTGTGGCACCTAACCGGACTCCTGTTGCTTGTTTTTGACTTTCACTGGAGAGCGGGAGGCACAAGGGATCCCTTGATTTCTTTGTCTGTCTCTTTGGATATTTCCTCTTCCTTATTCAAATAAAGTCTTTACTGCTAGTCCTTAACCGGCAGCGGGTTCGCTAGCGGTGGATGGCACCTGCTGAAGGGGGTAATTCAAGTTTAAAACAAATTAGCTATTGACCAGTTAAGACTTCCTCTTTTTTTTTTTTTTTTCATTTTAGAGCTGGGGAGGAGAGGGAGAGAAGATGGCGCAATTAAGAGAGAAGAGGGTGTGATCCAGGCATAAAAGCTCAGGCAGCTTTTATGGCACAATAAAGACAACATGCCAAGGGTGAGGCCACAGGTGAGGTGTGACCGAGATGTGGCTCATGACAGCCTCTGAAAAAGGTTCAGGGGAACCATTCTGGCCACCTCAGCTGTTCTAGGAAGGAGGAACTGATCATTTCAAAACCCTGGTTTAGTGTTGTTATTATTGTTATTCTTTTTTTTTTTCCCTTCTCATAAGAAGACATTGTGTTCTTGCTTGTGGAAAGGCTGTGGGGCAGATCAAGAGTCGGCTGGTGGAATTGGTGGGACAAATGAATGAATAAGTGAATGAATGAGTGAATAAATAAATATGTAGCCAGAGTTTTAGGCAACAGATCCATCTATCATCTGTCTGTCTGTCTGTCTGTCTACCTATCTTCTATTTATCTATTACATATCTGCTATATCTATCTCTAATCCATCTTCTGTGTCCATCTATCCCTCCCTTTATCTATCTATTGTCTACCTATCATCTATGTTCTATATTTGTTTGTGTATCTATCTGTAAGCCATCTTCTTTGTCTCTGTCTGTCTGTTGGTCTATCTATCCAACTATCCATCTACCCGTCTACCTATCTGCCTGCCTGCCTGCCTGCCTGCCTGCCTGCCTGCCTATCTATCTATCTATCTATCTATCTATCTATCTATCTATCTATCTATCTATCTATCTATCTATCTATCTATCTATCTATCTATCTATCTATCTATCTATCTGTCTGTCTGTCTGTCTGTCTGTGGCTATCTATATATCTGTGTCTATCTATATATCCGGCGCTGGGCTGCGGAGGCTGGGCCGGAGCGGGGAGGCGGGCAGGCGGGTGGGGCCGAGCGGGCGAGGCGGAGCCCATCGGGGGGGTGTAAGCCCGAGCGAGGCCAGACGGCGCGGCGGGTGGCGCAGCGCTTGGCGAGGCAAGGTGGCTCGTTCCCGGGTGGCGAGCGAGATGAGCGATCCGGAGAAGGGCAGCCGCGGGCAGCGGGAGCTGCTCAAGATCGGTGAGGCAGGGGACGCTGGATCTGGCTGCTGGGACTTGCTTGGCTTGGCTCCACGGCCGTCGGGGTGGAGGTCCTGGGGTTGGAAAGGGGGGGGGCGCCTCCTTGCCCCAAAGAGGGTGGTCTCTAGGGGGTCCCCAAAGGATCCAACCCAGCCTGGTTCCCTCTCCAAGGGGGCTGCAGCCCCCCACACACTCCCCTCCTCTTTCAGTCCCACTTTGGCCAGGAGGTGCTGAAGACCAAGCCTTGGTGGACCCCCCCCCCCGTTGCTGGAAATCTCCCTTTTGCAGGTTTCTGGCTCCAGCCCTTGGCAGGGAGGCCCCCGTTGGGTTGTGACCAAGTGGGGAGGGGCACCCTTCAAAAAGGAATGCCAGGAATGGGAAGAGCCTCTCCGTTGGGGGCTGCAAGGGAGGGGGCGTCCATGCCTTGTGGGAGCCCCACCGCCAGCCATCCGCCGTGGAGGTACTCCAACCCAGACAGTGGGAAGGGTCTTCCCCTGCGGAGGGTGGTCTTCTTGGGACTGATGGAACCAGAGCTAGCTTTGGCCTGGCCCATCGGATGCCAAGCCCCCTTCTTTTTGCTAGGGGCCGCTCATGTGAACGTTGATCACAAGGAAGGAGATGTGATTGCACCTAAGGGACTGATCCTGGACTGATCCGAAAGAACAATTCGGGGTGATTTGGGTGAACCGTGTAGACTTTCTACCAGTAAATTACAGGCTGTGCGCTTTGAACTTTAACTTAGCTGCTGTTGCTGTTTCAACTTAGGAGAGATAAATGTGTGTTTTTCTCTTTTGGGATTTTTTTTTTTAAATCCACTTTTTAAATGGTTTGCTTTGGTCGGTTTCATGTGTTTCTGTCTTTTTTGTTTTTTAATCCACATTTTTCATGGTTTTTCCTCCGTGTAATGTTGTTGTGTATTTTAATCGTTTGAATAAAATAGAAGTTGTAAAAAAAGCAAACCACAAGAATGGTTAGGGGTCCAGTTAGGGACGCCAAGCCAAAGGGATAGAATAATTCTTTGGAGGGATCTGCAATTCCCAAAAAAAAGGGGGAAAAAAAGAACAAAAGGGCTTCTCCAGAGACTCATCTGTTTACTCCACAAATTGTTGCTAATTACCCAGGGTCTTTGTGTAGCTGTTGCTTGCACTAAAAAGACACAGAGATGTTGCTATGTAGCTCCTCCAGAGATTTTTGTTACAGGAAGCAGACAGGAAGGCAAATGTTCACATAAAGGTCCCTATTTGCATAGCAACACAGTGTTCTAATATTTGAGGGGCTGCCCCAAAGAAGACGGGGTCAACCTATTCTTCAAAGCTCCTGAAGGCAGGACAAGAAGCAACGGATGGAAACCAATCAAGGAGAGAAGCAACCTAGAACTAAGGAGGAATTTCCTAATAGCAAGAGCAATCAACCAGTGGAACTCCTTGCCTCCAGAAGTTGTGGGTGCTCCAACACTGGAGGTTTTTAAGAAGAGATTGGACATCCATTTGTCTGAAATAGTATAGGACAGTGATGGCGAACCTGTTAGAGACCGAGTGCCCAAAAACCACCCTGTCCCCCAACCCCTCCCTGCCCCCTCCCCCACCGCCTCCACGGCCCCCCACAGATCGCCCAGGCGGCCCAGCAGCGCCATGGCAGCCCTGCCCTCAGCCTGCACCCTGCAGCATCAACTGCGCATGACATGGCGCGAGGGCAAAGTCTTGTCTCTGCTGCCCGGCTGCCATGCCCTTGACTGCACTGCTCCACATGGACCGTGCCCAGGGGCGACTCTCCTCCAGAGTTGCTGCTGGTGAGGACGGGGCCATGGGGGGAGGCGGGGCTGGGACGATGGCGCGTGTGCCCACAGAGAAGGCTCTGAATGACACCTCTGGCACGCGTGCCATAGATTTGCCACCACTGGTATAGGATTTTCAGCTTGTGCATGGGTTGGATTAGAAGACCTCCAAGGTCCCTTCTTATTCGGTTCCTGGAGGCTCCGATTAAAGCACCACCAGTGCAATTAAAAGCACAACTTTTAATGGCCTTCCAATGGGATATGTTCCCAGATCACTCTATTTGCTTTTGTGCCGTTTAATTGATGGAGGACGCTGTCGTTAAAAACAAAGCCATCGCTGTCCTGTCTCCAAGGCTGAGTAGCTTCTAAATAGGCATGAAAGTTTGTGAACGGCAGGTAGCTTTATGGCCTACGTGCCATGGTTGATTTGTGGCAAGTGAGTAATAGGGTGATTTTGCAACCCTGAATTTGATATTTAAAATATCTCCCGGTAGGAAAAGAAATGTTCCGTTTGGCCTCCACCCTCCCTGCATAGGAGAGAATCTGTGGAAATGTCATCAGTTCTCTATGGTTTCTCTCGAAGTTACTCCAAGGTGCTAGATGAGATATAATACGTGATGAATAATGGTGGTGCCATAACCTGTAGGCATCTGAGGAAGTGTATATCTGACTCAGTCATATGATGGTGCAACCCTTTTACGATCCAGGGTGGTGCCCGCATCCAGCCTTTATGGCTTGATCAAGACACAGGGTTACAACAGCCACAATTAAGGTGATGGTCATGAACACTCCTTTAACTGATTATCTCCTGTGGGCTGAAAGATCAATCTTGTCGCCAGGATCAGCAAGTTCCAGTAGATCAGTGGTTCTCAACCTGTGGGTTGGGACCCCATTTGGGGTCGAACGACCATTTCACGGGGGTCTCCAAACAACGCAGTCCGCCATTTTTTTCCCTTTTCCTTAGCTGTGCTACTCCCTTTTATTCTATTGGCTTTTGAAAGAGAGAGAGAGAGAGAGAGAGACACCACCAAGAAAGTCCAGTTGCTGACCTGGATGATTAAGAATGCTCCACAGACATTTTCATAGATACCTTTTTTAGGAACGTAAGAGGCAGGGCTTCCAATATGACCGCAACGGCGAGCCCCACAATCTCAGCCAGAAGTTATGAAAGAAGCTAGATGTCCTTTAGAACAACGGAAAGCTACTTATTGCGTAGGCCTCTTGAAGAGAAGTTCCTTCAGAGACCGTTGGCAACAGCAATGACAAACGCCATCCTTTACACAATTGCCAGTTATTCAGATGCCCCACCTTGCTGATTTGACACGGTTTGTCAATCCTTCTTCCGAGTGTCGCCACCCCACCCCAAACTTTTTGCAAACTCCTAGGCGTGTCACAATGTTTTGGTTTCCTCGCCCGTCTTCAGAGGCCGGGCTTCTGTTCTGCTCTTATCTCTGCTCCGTTGGACTGAGGTCCCCGGGGAAAAACCCAAAGGTTGTCATTGAGACCCAAATTGGGGACAACCTGCTCGGAAGACGCAGAGGTGGAGAGAAGAAGACTTCAGAGGATCGACGGGTGGGGGGTTTTTGTGGGAGGGGCTTACAAATATCAAACGTCTGTCTTTCAGCTTCTTCTTTCTTATTTGGTTCAGATTCGCCTGCCATTTTGTGGCTCGGAGAGTTTGAGGTAGAAACAAATGTGGGGTTTTGAAGAGTTGTTCTTTTCCCATGCTCAGCTCTTCCTTCTCTGCAAATTCCCCACCCCGTTTGGAGGGCTATTCAGGGTTGCGCAAGCCTAGAATCTCCCTAGCGTGGCTCAAAACGACTGCAAGATTCACAAAGGGCCAATCCAGGACTCTTGATTCTTCTTCCCAGAATATCTGAGTCTGGATTGGGAAAGAGATTTATTTTATTTTATTTTATTTTTTGCATTTGCGCACAAGAGTGATTCTCCCTTCCGCTGGGCCCTTCTTTGATTGCAGCGGGCTAGCCTTGAATTATCTCTGTGTTGTTGGTTTTTTTTTTTTTTAAGGCCGTCACAATCCTAGAACTTGGAAACTTTGGACTTTCAGCCAGCTCTATGTGGGCTGGCTTTGGTAAGCCTGACGTTGTTGTGAAACAGGGTAGAGAGTTCAGGCAGTTGGAAAGGAAAGGAGAATTCCTGTTTAGGAATTTGCAATGCACTTCCCACAGCAGTTTTGGGGGCCCAATACAAAATAAAATAAAATAACCATATGAGCTGAGATTGTGTCCCTCTGGATGGGGGAGCCTTGAAACGACAGCTTTTTTGGGGGAATTGCAAATCAGTTTTTTTTTATTCTGAATAATATTTTTTGATCATCTTTATGCTTTTCTATGGGGATTTTATTATTCGTATTTTTCCGTTAAGTCATTTGTTATTCACATAGGACAGTGGTTCTCAACCTTTCTAATGCCGCGACCCCATAATACAGTTTCCCATGTTGTGGTGACCCCCAACCACTTATACATCACCGGGTGCCAGGGGCATGGCCAAAGAAAAAGGGGGAAAAAATGGCGGACAGCCTTGTTTGGCGACCCCTGTGAAATGGTCGTTCGACCCACAGGTTGAGAACCACTGACATAGGGTGTAGATGGCAGGCGAACATACTGTCAACAGATTTACTAGTTTAGTATCTATAGTCCTTGAGTTACAACAGTTCATTTAGTGACCGTTCAAAGCTGCAACGGCACTGAAAAAAAAGGACTGTTTCACGCTTGACACAACCGTGTCAAGCCAGGTCGGAAAATGGAGCAACACTCACTTAACAAATCTCTCACTTTGCAACATAAATTTTGGGCTCAGTTGTGGCTGTAGGTCAAGGACTACAGTACAAAGCAGGGGTTTGGACTAGATGACCTCCAAGATCCCTTCCAACTTTATTATTATTATTAGTATCATTATTATTATTATTATTATTATTATTATTATTATTATTATTATTATTATTATTATGGTATCTCTGAATTGCGGCCAAACTTTGTTACGTCGTGTGTAAAAATGAGGCAAACCGCACACGGAGAATCCATACCCACCCCAGTTGCAACCTATTATTCTATCTGTCCTTCCTTGTTTTCATTTTTAAAATCGGCGTTAGCGCTTTGAATGGTTTTGTTTGTAAATGCTGGTCCATGACCGTAAGAAAAATTGAGTGAGGGAGGGAGTTTCAGGTGCTGGTTTAGTTGTCATTTCACTGGGTGTTCTTCTCCTTGGCTTAAGAGTCAAATGTCCTGGTAAGAAATGTGTTGTTGCCATCCCAGGTCACGCCTTTCTTTGTTGTTGTTGTTAAATTGGGCCTGACTCTTCGCAACTTCCTGAAGCACAGCATCAACTGCGTCCTTCTTGGCTGAATAAATGTTTGGACTCTGTCCATTTAAATATGCATAAGAGGTCCCACACCTTGGCAATAACACGTCCAGTTCTCATTTGAAGCTTTGCTAAGTGTTTTTTTCCATTAAAAAAAAAAGGAAAAAAAAAAGCTTTAAGCATCCTGGTCAATTAATAAAATTGGGTGTCTGCAGGATGAGAGCTGGCGAGGAGAGCTTATCACTGCTGAAACATATTGTTTCTAGAACCACCCTCTTGCAGAATGCAATCCTATTTAATGCCGGATAAATGGATACGGCGTTTTCATGCTCCCCCTCTTAGGCCAGGAGCAAATGGGCCGTGACAACTTGCTTTGATGAAATTCCAACGTTTAATCTTAAAATGTAGCGTGAGTAGCAGATTTCTGCCATCATTCCTCCCCCCCCCCACTTGGTTTTCAGGTTAGGAGGGGTTGGTTGCATTTCCCTGAATATTGGCGGTCTGAAATATTATTGTGATGGAGGGGAGGAGGGGAGAGGGAGGGGGAGAAGAAGGAGAAGGAGGAGGGGGGGAGAAGAAGGAGGAAGAGGAGAAGGAAGAGGGGGAGAAGGAGGAAGATGGAGGAAGAGGAAGAAGAGGAGGAGAAGGATGAAGAGGAGGAGGAGGAGGAGGAGGAGGAGGAGGAGGAGGAAAAGAAGAAGAAGAAGAAGAAGAAGAAGAAGAAAGAAGAAGAAGAAGAAGAAGAAGAAGAAGGAGGAGGAGGAGGAGGAGGAGGAGGAGGAGGAGGAGGAGGGAGGAGGAGGAGGAGGAGGAGGACGAGGAAGAAGAAGAAGAAGCTTCTTAGTCAGTCTGGAAGGAGACACCCATCTATCTATATAGCCTTTTCATTCACTGTCATTTCATGCTTTTATGACCTGACCTTAACCATGATGTCAGGTGTCATGTTGACACACCATGCAGGAAAGGAACCTAGTCTCAGAAGAGGTCCTTGCAGGAATGCCAATTAAAACATCCTAGACTCCGTTGAGTGTCCAGCCTTTGCTTGAGTAGGTTCAACCAAGGGGAGTCCACACCTTTTCTGGGCAAGTGGCTGAACAGTTGAACGAACTAATAAGAAGCAGGATTAAGCCATGATTAAGCAGAGGCTTTTCAAATGTGGACCTCGGAGCAAATAACCGTTCCTTTTCTCCTTTGTAGACTTCTTGGAGATGGTTCAGACCGAGCTCTTTTCATGAGTGAGGCCGGAGAGAATGAACTAGCCTGGGAAAATGCATCTGCCAGTGCTTAATTGACATTTTCCTTCCTCCCTTTATTTTGTGTTGTGTTGTTTGTTTGTTTCCCTTCTCTCTTTCCCACACGGTCATTCCAGGATTTTGAAAGTTCACAGCCATGACTCTTGAACTTTCTTCAACCAGAACATTCCTCAGTCAGAATCCATTTCTCCCCCAAATTTCCCTTCCTTCTTTTTTCTTTCTCTGATCAAAAGTTGCCGTTGTTTCCTGCTCGTGCTTCCCTCTCCGAAGGAATCGCGAGGAAAGAAATGTTGTGATCATGAGAACGTTGTCCTATAGACCACCAGAACTAGAGATGGATTGTGCCATTTCCTGTATCTTCATGAAAACAGAACCACCAAGTTCAACCCAAGTTGCGTTTCAGTACCGCAAACAGAAACCTCTGCCTGTTGCTGAAGAGTGGAAGTTAATTTCTGCTCATTTCTGCAGCAGTTTTGGAAAAAAAAAAGGGTAGTTCTCAACTTACAACCATTTGTTTACTTTAGTGGTTGTTTGAAGTTGCAACAGCTCTGAAAAAAAGTGACTTCTCTTTCACGCTCGTGACGGTTGCAGCTTCCTGTCGTTGCAGTGATCAAAATTCACACTGGCTGAACTGGCTTGTACTTACGACAGTTGCAACGTCCCGGGATCATGCACCCCAAAGTCAAGGGGGAAGCCGGATTCACTTAACGACAGGGTTACTCACTTAACAACCGCAGGGATTTGCTGAATAATTTGGGCAAAATAGGCCGTAAAATGAAAAATCTCTCTCTTTTTTTCTTTTCTTGTAGATGGTGCATCCAGCAGCCTTGGTTTCTGCGGCTGGCTCCTGGTTATAATTTCATTCATACTCGTGGCCGCCACCGCCCCTATTTCCATTTGGTTGTGCATAAAGGTAAGAAGAAGAATTTTTTTTTAAATTAAATAAAATATTCATGAGATGACTTCCTCCAACTAGGCTGCGAGTTCCCTTCTCTTCCTATTTCAACAAGGAATGGCAGTGAACTTGGGACTTGGTGTCCTTCGATTGTTTGCAAACCGCAGAGAATTGCTAACTCTCCCTCTGTCTGTCTCTCAAAGCACAAAGCTGAAAACACCAGCCTGAAGATGACGAATGGGACTTCGTCGAAAGATCGCCAAGACACTTCCAATTTTACGCGGGAGAAAACCCGAATAACCAAAGACAGGCCCCTGGAATTTGCCCCATCCTGTTTCCTAGGGCTGAGAGAGTCACTGTTCAAGGTCACCCAGGTGACTTTGTGCCTTAGGCAGGACTAGAATTCACCATCTCCTGGTGATTGGCCGAAAGTCACCCAGCTGGCTTTCATGGCTAAGGCGATACTAGAATTCACCATCTCCTGGTGATTGACCCAATGTCATCCAGCTGGTTTTCATGGCTAAGGCAGGACTAGAACTCACTGTCTCCTGGTGATTGGTCCAATATCATCCAGCTGGTTTTCATGGGTAAGGCAGGACTAGAATTCACCGTCTCCTGGTGATTGGCCCTTAGTCACCCAGCCGGCTTTTGTGCCTAAGTCAGGACTACTTTTGCATCAAAAACAAAAGAGTTTTTGACATCCCTGTGTGGTCCTGTGTGATCTACTTCTCTATATTTTGGTCCACACATGCTAGATGTGAAGACTGGGGGAAAAAATAGACTGGGATGTATAGATTACTTAAAGCAACGCTTGGAAAACCAACTGTGGCTTCCTCTTATCTCTATTACAGATTGTCAAAGAATATGAGCGGGCCATCATCTTTAGACTCGGACGTATCCTCAAAGGAGGTGCAAAGGGGCCAGGTGAGTTGTGAATATGGCACACGGAGGGGAGGAGGGATTGTGTGTGTGCTGGAAAACCATATAGTGCATTTCTCCGTAGCTTCCATTCATATGGAAGTCTAGTCTAGAGAAAAGAAGGACTAGTGGTGACATGATGGCAGTCTTCCAGTATTTGAGGGGCTACCACAAAGAAGAATAAGTCAAATTATTCTCCAAAGCACCAGAGGGCAGGACGAGAAACAACAGATGGAAACTAATCAAGGAGAGAAGCAACCTGGAATTAAGGAGAAACTTCCTGACAGTGAGAACAATTAACCAGTGGAACAACCTGCCTCCAGAAGCAGTGAATGCTCCAACACTGGAAGTTTTTAGGAAGAGACTGGACAGCCATTTGTCTGAAATGGTAGAGGGTTTCCTGCCTGAGCAAGGTCCCCTTGCCTCCAGAAGTTGTGGGTGCTGGGAAGTTTTAAAGAAAAGGCTGGACAGCCATTGGTCTCAAATTGCATAGGGATTCCTGCTTGAGCAGGGGGCTGGACTAGAAGACCTCCAAGGTCCCTTCCAACTCTGTTATTCTGTTATTCTGTATGGTTATATCTCCTTCGCTCCATGCTTCTTGTTCCATCTTTCAATATTTCATAAAATGGGACTCTGGTGAAGGCAGAATGACCCTCGCGATGCCCTCCGATGCCCGTTCTTTTTTGGGGGAATTGTGAGGACTACAGAAGGGACCGGGTGGGGAAAAAGCTGGATAAAATATCTTCCGGTGCCCCTAAATTCAATATTTCCCCTCCTGCAGGGCTGTTTTTTGTGTTGCCTTGTACGGACAACATCATCAAAGTGGACATGAGGACCATCTCCTTTGATATTCCACCGCAGGAAGTAAGTGTTCCCTTCACTTGATCGCTTGGCTTCTCTCCCCACCCTGAGCCTACTGGCTATAAATAGTCTCTACTGCCCATCTCCCACTGGATTCTCCAGGCCACACCGCACGGGCAAAGTGTGCAGCTGAGATGCCAGTTCGATGCACAGCTGCACACGATGGGGTTTTTCCTGGGCAGTTTTACTTCTGCTTGATCTGCCAGGTGGCTGAGAAAATTGGGGAAGGAACCGAGCAGGTTACTGAAGTGCGAAGCGGCCACCCGTAAATGCTTGTTTATTCCTGGTTTGTGGAGCTCCTTCTTCTTTGCTTGCCTCTGAGAAGATGTGGCAGGTCCTCCTCCTCCTCCTCTTCTTCTTTCTTTTCTTCCTCCTCTTCTTCCTCTTCCTCCAACTGCTCCTCGATCACGCCGAAGGTCGTAGCTGTGAAAAACGGTCAAAAGTCGCTTTTTCCCAGTGCTGTTGTCACTCGGGACGGTCACTAAGTGAACAGTTAGTAAGTTGAGGGCTCTCTGTAGATTGCAAACTGTTTTAGCCTTCAAGGTGAGTTGAGAGGCGTGCTCTGAAGAGTGGAAAAACCCAACTGAGGGCTTTTAAGGGTTAACTGGTGTTTTGCAATGTTATGCTAACGATGTGCCAGGTACATACTAACCCCTGGGAACTCATTCCCCCACAGAGGCCAGGCACACCCTTGTGGCCGCTGCAAACTTCATCAGGAACTTTAAAAAATAAAAATAAAAATAAATGTAAAGCGTAGTACGGCACGAGTGCAAATGAGGCAGATGGCTTTCCTAGGCGGCCCTAGGAAACTGTACAGTTAACTTCTGTGAGTATCGAATCAAACTTTGGGGGTGTCTCTGCTTCAGTGACCTCAGAGGAATTAAGCAATTCTGAAGGCCAAAGGAGAATAAAGGAGAACCTTTGTAGCTCAGGGTTGAAATGAGGGGTCCTTGGTACTCTCTGAGCTTGGCTGATTTTCTTGCAGATGTTTCATGACCCAACTAGGGAATATCATCAGTGCTAGAAGGGAGAGGGGTTTGTGAAGAGGAGAAGGAGGAGGAGGAGGACTGTGAGGTCCTTGATGCTCTCTGAGCTTATTTGTTTTCTTGCAAATGTTTTATGACCCAACTAGGGAACCTCATCAGTGCTAGAAGAGAATGGGGTCTGTTGAGTGGAGGAGGAGGATGAGGAGGAGGAGAAAGGGGAGGACTGTGGGGCCCTGGGTGCTCTCTAAACTTGGTGGTTCTCTTGCAGACGTTTTCATGACCCAACTAGGTGACATCATCTGTGCTAGAAAGGAGTGGGGTTTTATCTGATTTTATACACTAGTGGCTTGCTCTAATTGTTGACGGGAATGTGTTTTTTCCCCTCTTGGTATTTCCTTGATTAAGGTATTGTTTTCTGCTTGATTGTTTGTCTGGTGCTAATCCCTGATTATCTGTGTTTCTCTTTCTATGTCATCCGTGGTGCTCTCTGAGCTTGGCTGTTTTCTTGTAGACGTTTCTTTACCCATCTAGGTAACATCCTCTGTGCTAGAAGGCAGGGAGGGTTCAGGGGTTCCCCAAACTCTTGACAACTGCTGGCTGCCAACTGAAAAGCTCTTAGCGCAGAATTATGCAATAGTCCAGAACTCCTTTTGTCTAATTAGCTGATTCCCCAAAGCAAGCTCCTCCTGTTTGTTTGGAAATAAGCTGCGGTGTCAGCCTTACTAACAGTTTGCAAACAAGCACTGACTCTCCGGGCCTTCTTCTCTGTCTCGCTCAGATTCTCACCAAGGATTCCGTGACGGTGAACGTGGATGGGGTGGTCTACTACCGGGTGCAGAATGCCACCCTCGCCGTCGCCAACATCACCAACGCAGACTCAGCTACTCGGCTGCTGGCTCAGACGACACTCAGGAACGTGCTGGGGACCAAAAACCTTTCTCAGATCCTCTCCGACCGGGAGGAAATTGCGCACAGCATGCAAGTAAGCGATTTTGGAGCTCAGACGGAAAGATTTGGGCCGCCTAAAAACAGGACCGTCGGAAGAAGTGGGAATGCCCATATATGGAGGTGATACGGGGGATGCTACAGATAGTTCTCGACTTACAACCGGAACGGAGCCCAAAATTTCCATTGCTAAGTGAGTCTTGCTCCGTTTGTACGGCCTTTCTGACCACGGTGGTTGAGTGGTTGTTAAGTGAGTAACATGGCCGTTCAGCCAATCCGGTTTCCCCATGGGCTGCGGTTGTCAGGAGGCCTCCAAAGGGGGATCCCATGAAACCGTCACAAATATGAACGAGTTGCCAAGCGCCCGGATTGTGATCGGGTGGCCACGGGGACGCTGCCGTGGGCATCAGTGGGGAAAAGGTCATAAGTCACTTTTGTCAGGGTCGTCGTAACTTGGAATGGTCACTAAAGGGAAGGGAGGGAGTTGGAGGACTTACCATCTCCCATCTCCTTCCTTCCTCCCTCCCTCTCTCCCATCCTCCCTCCCTCCCTCCCATCTTTCCTTCCTTCCTCCCTCCCTCCCTCCCTTCCTTCCCTCCCTCCTACCCTTCCTTCCTCCCTCCCATCTTTCCCTCCCTCCCTTCCTTCCCTCCCTCCCTCCTACCCTTCCTTCCTTCATTCCTCCTTCCCTCCCATCCTTCCTTCCTACCCTCCCTCCCTCCCTCCCTCCCTCTCTCCCTTCCTTCTGCACAGGCCACTTTGGACGATGCCACGGACGACTGGGGCATAAAAGTGGAGCGAGTGGAGATCAAGGATGTAAAGTTACCCGTCCAGCTTCAAAGAGCCATGGCGGCTGAAGCCGAAGCCACTCGGGAAGCCAGGGCCAAGGTGAGTAATGGTGGATACTGATTTCAGGGGGAGATGCACAAAGGAAGTTTCTGTAGAAGAGATTCTTTGTAAGCTCAGGGTTGACCTCTAGGGTCCGTGGTGCTCCGAGGTCCGTTGTTCTGAAATTTTATATATCATGTGTTAATTCATTATTCCTGCAAGGCTTTTCATTCAAGTTGAATAGGGTGGTGGTGTTTTGTTTTGTTTTCTCCTATCCTCCCTCAAAAAAACAAACAAACAAAAAACAAGGAAGCTAAGAAAATGTTTTTCTTCCTGCCCGGATTTGACCCGAAGGTTTTCGCAGGTGTTTGTATGTAGGTCTTTGGTTATTCGGGTTTTCTCCTGTGTAAAATTGGAAGTGTCTTGGCGATGTTTCGACGAAGTCCCATTCGTTATCTTCAGGCTGGTGTTTTCAGCTTCGTGCTTCGAGCAGCAATGAAGCACGAAGCTGAAAACACCAGCCTGAAGATGACGAATGGGATTTCGTCGAAACGTCACCCCGTTTTTTCCTGATTGGGAAACAGGTTCATAATAGAGCAGGGCCCTGATGCTATTTGAATAGGAGTGGAGCTTCATTTAAATGAGATCCGTGTCTTAGGAGTATCACAGACGTTCCATTTCCTCATCTGTTGGAACATGCAAGGCCTTAGGTTTACTTAATGTGTGTGACTCTGCAGGTGCACAGGAAAACCACAAGGCTAAGCGTCTTAGTGTGCTTGTTGCTGCCACCGCAAAAAACAGGAAGACAACACACACAAATGGTGTCACACGAGAAAAGCAAATATACGAGCGAGAAAGATAGTCCTGAAACCTAGATCTCATCGAGGTGGCCAAAATTTTGGAAAGACGACATATGAGCACCTCATACTTACCCTCCCCATATGTGCTATTTTCCTCCATGACATATCCTTCTAAACCTTTATACCCACCCTTTGTTAAATAGACAATTAAGTTGGGCTAATTGGGAAACGTAGCCTGGGTAGTCAAGAGGAAAAGTCACAAGAATGTAGAGGTTTATTCATAAGATGTGTGGGATGTGGGAGTGCATTCCATGTAGAAGAAGGAGGACGAGGAGGAGGAGGAGGAGGAGAAAGAGGAGGAGGAGGAGGAGGAAGAAGAAGTAGTAGTAGTTGGAAACGACCTTGGAGGCCACCTAGTCCAACCCCCTGCTCAGGCAGGAAATCCCATACCATTTCAGACAAATGGTTGTCCAGTCTCTTCTTAAAAATTTCCAGTGTTGGAGCATTCACCGCTTCTGGAGGCAGGTTGTTCCACCAGTTAATTGTTCTCACTATCAAGAAATTTCTCCTTAGTTCCAAGTTGCTTCTCTCTTTGGTTAGTTTCCATCCGTTGCTTCTTGTCCTGCCTTCAGGTGCTTTGGAGAATAGCTTGACTTCTTCTTCTTTGTGGAAACCCCTGAGAGATTAGAACACAGCTATGATGTCCCCCCTTGCCATATCCACTTTACTGGATATGGGACTTTTTGCTTTTTTCCCTTCCAGGTCATCGCTGCGGAGGGCGAAATGAACGCTTCCCGGGCGCTGAAGGAAGCCTCGATAGTCATCACGGAGTCTCCCGCCGCTCTCCAACTCCGCTATCTGCAGACCCTCACCACTATTGCAGCCGAGAAGAATTCCACCATCGTCTTCCCCCTGCCCATAGACATGCTGCAAGGGATTATGGCAATGAGGCACTAACGTTGGTGAAGGAGAGGAGAAGCTAGATTAAAAGCAAAAGTCAGCCTTCGGCTAGGAGAGAAATTGCATCCTTTGTAGAATTCATAAGTATTTTGCATCAGCTGGATCCTCTCTGTTGTCCCTCTGGACAAATATAGACCCCCCCATTTTGCTTCTCCCCGTTCTCTTCTTTTAAAGAGAGATTTCTTTTATATAAATACCAATATAATTTTTATCAATGTTTTTTCAAAAAGGAAGACAAAAACCAATACAAACTAACATCAAGGAAGAACAGGAAAAAAAGGAAAATGGAAAAGAAAGAAAAAAATTCCCAAGAAGTAACTTCCAATCTTCTTTATAGCATTTACGAGTGCAGTTATAAATTTACCTCTTACTCTAAAGTTGCAAGGTAATTCTCTTCTTTCTATAATCTGGCCTGTCTAATCCTCAAAGGTATAAATTACGTTTTTTTCCCCCCACTTCATGCAAAAAGTCTATAGGTAAGGAATTTAAAAAGAGGTTTTTTGAGTGCCTTGCATCTCTTTGGAAGGAGAGTCAAAGAATTGTTTGGCTTTTGATTTATTTTTTTTTTAAAAAACAAAAATATTTTCTTTGTTTTCTCTCATGGGAGACAGCGTCCATAGCGGCCATGTTGTCAGAGATTGTAACAACGCACAGATTGTAGTCATGGAGATAATATGCTTGTTAGCTACGTATCATGTTCAGGTTACACACAAGTGTCTCCTTGCCTTAGTGACCCATGTAATCCAATGCCTCTATCTATCTGATTTTGCTATCTACATTTTTTACACATAAAAACAGAGCATTGGTTTTTTTTTAACCATTTTTAAAAAGAGGATGGTATTTCATTTCCTGGTTTTGATTTTTTTTCTTCTTTCCAGAAAAATAAAAACCATAAAGGTATCTCATTTCCAGAAATGATGCTGAGTGCCTTTGAATCTTTCGCTGAGCTTAAATGTATTATTTCCTAAAAGCTAAGAGGCTCGATGTTTATTTTAAGACGTCTGTGGTCAGCTGCATGGCGATATAGCTACCTGCTTAATTTAACATTAGGGCCTCCCCATAGTTCTATCTCTTCTACCACATTCTCAGCCAGTTTAGAACAATTTATCTGAAAGAGCAATAAATCCCAGACGCTTCCTTTCAAGTTAAGTACAACGTTTGTGCTAAATCTCAGCTTTTTGCTAATATACCACGTTGATGTTTAGCCCCGTATATTGGTATGTTTGCGTTGCGTATTTTATAAAGTTGATATCTGGTTGGAATCAGAACTATAGGTAATTGTCACTGAATAGCGTTGTGGTTAATTGTAATTATTGTACTGTATTCCGCATTGTGTGTTAAGTTTTAATAACAGGAAAAGAGGACTGGGGTCCAGTTTTAGAAACATCATATGAAACATCATATGAACATCCGATGAAAACCTAAAGGCTTTTTCAGTTGTCTGAACAAATGAGCCTCTGTTGAAATGTTATACCATCTTTCATGTTCTCAGAAATTAAAGTGGGATCCGGCCATTTTAATTTCATGGTCATTTTAATTCAGCTCACAATTATAGGATCCAAATGAAAGTATCCCCCCCCCAAAAAAATAAAACCAAAGAACATTTTCTTTTAGCCCGTTTACCGAAAGTGCTCTTACTACCATGTACGAAAGAGAGAAAAAATTGTCAGTGAAAAAAACGTGTCTGAATTCTAAAGTGTCCTTGTTGATCAGCTGACGTTCCAATAAATTTTTCTTTTATCATGTTCCTGTTTCTGAAGTCCTTGGCAAACCTTTTCTGGAAAAGAAGACATTTTGAGAGGCCTTGGCGCTCTTTGAGCTTGGCTGTTTCCTCGCAGAGATTTCATTCCTGAGATCCTGAAATTGGGAAGCAAAAGCTTGATGGGTTTAACTCGGCTTGGTCGTCTCTCTCCAGGCGGCAGAAAACATCTGCAGAACATCTGCTAGCCTCACCCATCTCTGTTCTGCCCGGAGCTACAGCAGAGTCCTTTCCTTCTCCGCTTTCCCTGCCTAGAGATTTCCAAACCGTGTTTTAGATTTTATTTCCTTGATTAGGTCAGGCCAGCCTGGAAAAATAAATGAATCTCAAGGGATGTTTTCAAGTAATTGAATAGAGCTGGGTGATATCAGAGCTGCTTTACAGGGGAAAGAAACACCAGACGCCCACTAGCTTCAGTTTATATTCATTAGGGGTGTGTGTGTGTGTGTGTGTGTGTTGTGAGAAGCTCTGTTATCTTGTTGGTCTGCCTGTGGAAGAGTTCTCTCCTGCCCAAAATGTGCAAGCCTTTGGGGTACACTCTGTTCTACAGATCTGCAGGAGGAAGGAAGGAAGGAAGGAAGGAAGGAAGGAAGGAAGGAAGGAAGGAAGGAGATGAAAAAGGGAGGGAAGGAGGGAGGAAAGAAGGAAAGAAGATGGGAAGAGAGGGAGGAAGGAAGACAGGAGGGGAGGGAGGGAGGAAAGGAAAGAGATGGGAAGAGAGAGGAAGGATGGAAGGAAGACGGGAGGGAGGGAGGGAAGGAAGGAAGGAGATGGGAAGAGAGGGAGGATGGAAGGAAGATAGAAGGAAGGGAAGGAAGAAAGGAGATGGGAAGAGAGGGAGAATGGAAGGAAGGAAGGAAGGAAGGAAGGAAGGAAGGAAGGAAGGGGGAGGGGGGAGGGAGCACATCGACGCAACTCGCAGCCCTGAAGTTGCCAAAGAAGCCCAAGCGAGCCAAGCCCGAGGTGCCTGGGAGGGTCGTCAGGATGCCCCCAGAGGCTTGGCCGAGAGAGCAGAGCGCCATAGAGGTTGGAATCCGCGCCGCGCGAGCCATGGAGCCGCAGCCGCCAACGGCCGGGGTCCCGCGCGGAGTCCCCGTTTCTGTTGCTGCCCGTCCCGTCCGCCAACCTGGGCAACAGCGCCGTGGGGCTGATGGGCGACATGGAAAGGGGCACTCGGAGGAATCCAGACGGTCTGAAATTGGACGGTGAGACCCACCGACCCGCCTCGGGGCTTGGTTGTGCCCCCGCTGCTCTTTCCTAGCTGCCTCGATTTCCAAATGGCAGCTTCCCTAACCTGCGGATTGGCGCGGCGAGCTCCTGAGCCAGTGCAGAGCGCCGCCACTCGAGGGGATCTAAAAGCATAAGCCAATTCTTGAGGGGGGATGAGGCGTGAACTTAAGTCTCCCTGGCAGGCAAGCTCAGCTTGGCCGATTCCATTGGGACCCGGGGTACTACTGCTAAGTAGATCCTCTGAGCATGCACAGAGGGCATCTGGAAATATAAAAATGCATCCGCCTTTTTCGCCATCATTTATGACTTTATTTCCACCGTTACTACACCGGCACAACGATACTTCTTTAGCTGGTTCTTACATCCATCAAGCGTATTTGTTTGGTTATGTACTGTCGACTTAATCAAACTATTTTGTTTGGCCGATTATGTGCCATCAAGTCTGATTAGTTGGTTATGTGCTCATCAGTTTTGATTGATTGATTTTGTACTGCTGAGTCAATCAGCCAATTTTGATTAATGATGTGTCATCAAATCAATCAAAGTCATTTGTTTGTTTGTTTGATGGAGTGTGTGCTCTCAAGTCAATCAAACCATTTGATTGATGCTTTGTGTGCTATGAAATCAATCCTATTGAGTTTGATTGATCATAAGCTATCAGATCAAACTCATTTGATTGTTTAGGGGTTATCAAGTCAATCCTATGAGTCTGATTGATTGTGTGCTATCAAATCAATCCTATGAGTTTGATTATGTGCTATCAAATTAATCAAACCATTTGATTGAAGCTTTGTGTGCTATGCAACCAATCACCTGCATTTGATTGATAACTGATTGATTGCTTATGGGCTATCAAATCAATCCTATGAGTTCGATTGATTGTGTGCCATCAAATCAAACAATTTTGATCGATTGATTAGCTGCCATCGAGCTGAACAATTTTGGTCGATTAGGCTCAAGGGAGGTAATAATAATAATAATAATAGTAAAGTTGGAAGGAGTCATCTAGTCCAACCCCCTGCTCAGGCAGGAAACCCTATCCCATTTCAGACAAATGACTGTCCAATCTCGTCTTAAAAATTTCCAGTGTTGGAGCAATCACAACTTCTTAAAAACTTCCAGTGTTGGAGTATTCACCGCTTCTGGAGGCAAGTTGTTCCACTGGTTAATTGTTCTAATTGTTTCTCCTTAATTCCAGGTTGATTCTCTCCTTGATGAGTTTCCATCTGTTGCTTCTTGTCCTGCCTTCCTTGACTCCCTCTTCTTTGTGGCCGCCCCTGAGATATTGGAAGACTGCTATCATGTCCCCCCTCGTCCTTCTCTTCATTAAACTAGACGTACCCAATTCCAGCAACCGTTCTTCATATGTTTTAGCCTCCAGTCCCCTAATCATCTTTGTTGCTCTTCTCTGTACTCTTTCTAGAGTTTCAAGTTCTTTTTTTACATCGTGGTGATCCTAGAAAGCTGGTGACCCCACGGATAGAATCCCAATTTTATGCCTCTGTTATCACCCTCTGAAAATAGGTGGAGGTTGCAATTCTATATTTAAAAAACAGGACTGGCATGTATAAGCAGTCAGAGCCGACAAAGCCAGGAAACACGTCTCAACTGCACAATTTGAGGGGATATTTCAATCAGGGCGTTTCCTGCACTTGCAGATAAACACTAGAGAGGGGGGAAAAACACACACAACCACAATCAGGTTGCTGGGTTTAGCGTGTTGCACAAACGTGGCCATGGCTAAGGCTATGTCAGCATATCACAATCACACGGTGGATTGTGGCTTTTTCTGTGAAACAGGATAAAGCAATGCTTGGCTGGAGGGGGGGGGGGGACAGAAAATTTGAAAGCGTGCCAGAAGTTTGTAGACAGGAAATGAATAGTTTATTTCAGACAGCAAAGGTGAAGAACCGGTTTGGTTGTAGTGGTTTTCAGACCCTGGGCTAGAAACGAGGAGAATGAGAGTTCGAGTCTCGCCTGAGATACCAAGGCAGCCTGGTGACCTTGGGCCAGCCACTTTCTCTCAGCCCTAGGAAGCCGGCAACGGCAAACCATGTGGGAGATCTTGCCAAGTCAACTGCAAGGGCTTGCCTGCAGGAGACAAGGATGGCTCAAAAGCACAACAAAGAGAACAAGACATGGACACCTCCATTGCACTGGCAGCCTTAAGGCTAAAAGGACATTTATGTCACAATTCTTTATTTTTCTTTTTAATAATAACACGAGGGACATGTCACTCTGCCTACCAATTCTTCTCCTTCTCTTTCAGCTTCCCAGCTAATTCAGGACAGGAAATTCGGCCTCGTGGTTTAAAGAGGCGAAACAGTATTTTATGTTTCCAGGGGAGTGGAATTTTTGTTTCGAACTGGCCCCGCCGGGTTCAGAGCAAGCATCTCATTCCTTAGTTTGGTTGAATCTCAGCTGAGGCTGCCTTGCGAGAGTCTTTGAGAGGTTATTTTCTTCATCTTCTATTTCTCCTTCGTCCTGCTTCATGTGACCGGCCCATTTGCTCCTGAGCGGGACTTTAAACATGGTGGAAAGCCAGGAAGGAGCGCTCAGACCTTGCCGTCAGGGCGAGCATGTAGTTGTTGTTCAAAGCAAAAGACAATAGGGGTGGTGTTCACGGTTTTATGTTCATTTTTCTTTCTTTCAGGGAACTTTGAGGAAAGCTACGGACCGTGTGAATGGATCCTCATTATCCTAATGTATATTTTTGTAATTTTAACCTTCCCCATAACCATCTGGATGTGCATAGAGGTAATGATAGAGCCTTGGAATTCTAAGATTTGATCTATTTTCCTTCCTTCCTTCCCTCCCTAATTATCTTTCTTTCCTTCCTTCCTTCCTTCCTTCCTTCCTTCCTTCCTTCCTTCCTTCCTTCCTTCCTTCCTTCTGTCTCTCTCCTTCCTTCCTTCCTTCCTTCCTTCCCTCCCTAACTCCTTTTCCTTCCTTCCTTCCTTCCTTCCTTCCTTCCTTCCTTCCTTCCTTCCTTTCTTCCTTCCTTCTTTTTCTTTCTTTCTTTCTTTTTTCTTTCCTTCCTTCTTTCTTTTTCTCTCTCTCTCCTTCCTTCCTTCTTTCCTTCCTTCTCTCTCTCTCTTCTCCCTCCCTTCTTCCCTCCCTCGATGAAACTTACAACTTACTCTGCCATACCATACACAGTAGGCAGGGTTGAACATTATAAAAGCTGCACTATCAGGGCCAGAAAAGTGAACACATCCAGCAAGGAGTGAAACTGTGTCTATCTTTCCATTGTAGGTGGTTATGCAATATGAACGAGTGGTCATTTTTAGGCTGGGCCATATACGAAAAGGAGGGTCCAAAGGTCCTGGTAAGATACTTCTTCCCCCCCCCTTGCTGCTCACTTTCCCTGTCTTGTTCTTTAAACTTCTCTAAAGATCCTAATTTTTGTTCTCCCGCAGGAGTCTATTTTATTTTGCCTCTCCTAGATTATGCGGTCAAGGTGGATATGCGGACCATATCGTTTGATATATCTCCCCAGGAAGTAAGTACCCCACGGGCAGTCCCCAACTTATGACCACAACAGCCCAACATTTCTCTTGCTAAGCGTGACGTTTGTCAAGTGGGTTGGCTCCATTTTACAACCTCTCTTGCCACTGTCGTTAAGCGAATCAATGCAGCCCTTAAGTTAGTCACACGGCGGTTAAGTGAATCGCAAAAGGGGATATCACGTGAACTATCCGGGACCCTGCGACCGTCATCAATGTGAGTCAGTTGCCAAGCTTCTGAATTTCGATCACGTGAGCCCGGGGATGTGCAACCGTCATAAATAGGTACCAAGAGGCCAAGTATCCCGATTTGGGTCAGGTGGGGATGGTGCAAATGGTCGTCAGTGTGAAAACCAGTCATAAATCTTTTTTTTTCACTGCCGTTGTAACTTTGGTCACTAAATGAGTTGTAAGTTGAGGATTACCTGTACTTTTTCTTTTTAAGTGCAATTTTCATAGATTAGGGGAAGGCTAGGTTCCTGCTGGTGAAGAAGCACGGGCCCTGCCTTTGGGTGCCGATATGCGTTTGCTTTTTGCTCGTTTTCCGTCGCTCTCCTCTTCTAGATTCTTACCAAAGATTCAGTGACGATCATGGTGGACGGCGTCGTTTATTACCGGGTTTGGAATGCTATTCTTTCCGTCGCCAACGTGCTTTACACAGACCCGGCCACTCGGCTCCTGGCTCAAACCACCTTGAGGAACATCTTGGGAACCAAAGACCTGGCTCAGATTCTCTCCGACCGAGAGGAGATCGCCCAGAGCATGCAGGTTTGAGAAAGCCCCAGCTACCCGTGGCGTCTTTGGGGGAGATTCAGAACAAAACAAGAATAGAATAGAATAGAATAGAATAGAATAGAGTAGAGTAGAGTAGAGTAGAGTAGAGTAGAGTAGAGCAGAGCAGAGCAGAGCAGAGCAGAGCAGAACAGAACGGAACAGAATAGAATAGAACAGAACGTTGGAAATCTTCTAGTCCAACCCCCTGCTCAGGCAGGAAACCCTACACCATCTCAGACAAATGGCTGTCCAGTCTCTTCTTAAAAACTTCCAGTGTTGGAGCATTCACCGCTTCTGGAGGCAGGTGGTTCCACTGGTTAATTGTTCTCCCTGTCAGGAAGTTTCTCCTGAATTCCAGGTTGCTTCTTTCCTTGATGAGTTTCCATCCATTGCTTCTTGTCCTGCCTTCAGGCACTTTGGAGAATAGCTGGACTTTGGGGCAGCCCCTGAGATATTGGAACACTGCTAGCATGTCACCCCAAGTCCTTCTCTTCATCAAACTAGACACACCCAATTCCAGCAAGGTCAAATTGTGGCGTGGTATCCAAAAATAATAAAGTTCCCTTCCAGTTGAGTTCATTCTTTGTGATTTCCTGGACATGTCTATGAATATCTGTAGCTCAGGTGATGGATGAGGGTGGAGGGTTCGTTCTCTGAGCTTGTGAACTAGTTTGGGTACCAGGCTACATCATAGTGCCCACAGGGAAAAAATGACAATAAATGTTATCCGATCTGATCTGATCTAATCTAGGAAGCAGAAGAACACTAACACCGACCAAGGGAGGGAGCCAGGACTTTGCAAATCAATCCTTTAACTTACTTGCTTAGACAAGTGTGTTGCACCAATGCAACAACTGCAAGTCTCAGCCTGCGGGGATCAAACTGTGCAAAACGTTTTCCCTGATGCCACGCATGTCACCACCGGCAAAGGAAGCTATGCTCACAACGTGTAACGCCAATCACCAGTTAAGAAATCCTCTGAAAGTTCTGGCTGATTGTTTTGGGGGTTTTTTTGGTAAAGATTTACTTATTGTCCTTCTCAATCAATGACTATCGGCGGTTGGCTAATTCCCAAATTGCAGGGGGGCCTCTGACAAAAGACCAAGCTGAGCCCAAAATTGATGTTGTTAATCGAGAAGGTTGCTCAATGAGCTTTGCCCCCATTTTACGACCTGTAATGGTCGTAAGTGTATGAAAAACACAGAGAACTTCCTTCCTTCTTTCTTTCTTTCTTTCTTTCTTTCTTTCTTTCTTTCTTTCTTTCTTTCTTTCTTTCTTTCTTTCTTTCTTTTTCAAAGATCACCCTGGACAAGGCCACGGACGACTGGGGCATAAAAGTGGAGCTTGTGGAGATCAAGGATGTCAAGTTACCCTTCCAGCTTCAAAGAGCCATGGCGGCTGAAGCCGAAGCTGCTCGCGAAGCCAGGGCCAAGGTGGGAAATGATGCTTTTTTTGTGGGAGGGGGTCTAGAAATGGGGGGACAATTTCCAGTGAAAGCCAGCTGGGTGACTTTGGGCCCATCACCAGGAGATGGTGAGTTCTAGTCACCTCTTAGATATGAAAGCCGGCTGGGTGACTTTGGGCCAAGGACTCTTTTTCAGTCAACCACAGGTTTGTTCTAGTGTGGAAAATAAAGAGAGGAAGAAGGATTTAAGACACGTTTGCCGCCTTACTTCTCATAAGCAATAATAAAAGTGGGATAAAAATCAAATAAATAAATGCATCAGATTTGGGAGAACAGAAGAAAGAGGAGACAATTATTCAGATTCAGAATTCGGGCTGAATGAGAAGATGGATTTTAGCTCAATCACCTATCAGGGCTCGGGCATCCAGGCTGGGGTGGTCGAACCCAGCCAACTGTGCCTGGTTTAACAAAGTGGTTAGAGAAACCAGCGCCACAAATCCCACTAACCTGGTTTTTTTATTCGGCCTCCTGCCTTCCAGGTGATCGCAGCGGAGGGCGAAATGAACGCCTCACGGGCTCTGCAGAAGGCCGCAGCCATCATCTGCGAAAACCCGGCCGCACTGCAGCTTCGCTACCTGCAAACTCTGACCACCATCGCTGCGGAGAAGAATTCCACCATCATCTTCCCTCTTCCTTTAGACATATTGCACGGTTTTATCCCTCCGAAGCAGTAGCTGCGGTGAGGAAGAAAAAAGAAAGAGACAACAGCTGCTTTCCTTCTCCAAGCCCTTTGAATAAAAACCTGCGTGCACATTACACAGAGGTGCCTGTACAACAACCGTCCTCGGCTTTGCAGCTTGGTGGCCCGGCTGGGGTTGGGGGAGAGAGAGGGGAAGCGGACCGCACGAGTTGCGGGGCAGTGCGCACGCGCTCAGCTCAATTTGCACAAGCATTGGGAGGCTCGCACACACATGCATGCACAACTCAACTTTGGTAAATCAAGTTGCTCGTGTGTATGCCAGCCCGCCATTGTGCGGCCTGGTTCCGAATAAGCCACGGTCCAGTTCTGGGCTGTCGCCCAGAGGTTTGGGACCACTGTTGTACAAGATCTATTTTTTTTCAACTTTTGCACGAAGGTGACCAAAATGTCAACACAGAGTAGACTCAACAACGGAAAGTCAACCATTTTGGATGCCCGACTCTTTTCTTCATTCCCTCCCTCAATTCAGTGGGTGCTTGCATCAAATGCAGCTATAGTCCTCAATGACCCCTTATGATCACAATTTTACCCCAGAATTTAGGCTTGCGAAGTGAGACATTTGTTAAGTGATGTTTGCCCCATTTTACGATTTTTCTTGCTGTGTTTGCTACGGGAATTGCTGTAGTTGTTAAATTGATAACATGGTTGTTAATATGATCACCTGAAGGCAGGACAAGAAACCACGGGTAGAAACTAAACAAGGAGAGAAGCAACCTGGAACTAAGGTGGAATTTCCTGACAGTGGGAACAATTAACCAGTGGAATGACCTTCCTCCAGAAGTTGTGGATGCTCCATCACTGAAAGTTTTTAACAAGAGATTGGACAGCCACTTGTCTGAAATGGTATAAGGTTTCCTGCCTGAGCAGGGGGTTGGACTAGAAGACCTCCAAGGTCCCTTCCAGCTGTTCTTTTTCTGTTAAAAAGAGGTCCTTCACATTATCCCATCCCCTGGTTCACCATGGACGTCTCAATCAACAATGTTGATGCAAGCGATGGGAAACCACCGTTGCTGGATTCCCATGCTAAGCCTAAACAACGAACGGAGATTGGCTTAGCGCCAGCACCACCCTGTTCTTAATCCTGGTCTGTGCCACTCTTCCATAAGAACATAGACTGGTTTTTCCAGAATGGCACCCTTGGCGTGCAATTTACCAGATGCTCACCTCTGCCAGGGCACCGTTGGGGGCTCCTGAGTTTGCTGCCAAACACCACGGGGTTGAGCAATCCTTGGTGCTCTCTGAGCTGGGTTGTTTTCTTGCAGATGTTTCATTACCCAGCTAGGTAACGTCATCAGTGCTGGAAGGGAATGAGGTTGGCTTCCAGCACTGACATGACCTAGTTGGGTAATAAAATATCTGCAAGAACACCACCAAGCTCAAAGAGCACCAAGGACCCCACAATCCTCCTCCTCCTCTTCGCAAATCCCATTCCTTTCGAACACTGAGGATGTTCCCTAGTTCGGTAATGAAACGTCTGCAAGAAAACAAGCCTGCTCAGCGACAGCCAAGGACCCCGGAGTTCAACCCTGAGCTGCAAATATTCTCTCCGCCGCGGGGTTTCACCTTACTTCGGCCGGTGGCAAAAGCGGGGAAGGGGCGTCGGGCGCGCTTGGAGAGCCCCCCGCGCGTAAAGGCGCAAGCTGGAGCCGGCTGGAGGAGAGAAGCGAGGAACGCCAGACTCGAGCGTTAGCAGCCCAGCAACCGCCGCCCACGGCGCGTCCACAGCCGGGGAGGGGCTGCCAGAACGCACGGGCGGGTGGGCTTCTCTGAGCGCCTCCGGAGCGACCAGAGCAAGGCGAAGCATGTCGGTGTCTCTGAAGAAGCCAGAGGAATCGGAGGGGTCCGACACGTTGCAAGGCAAGGACCAAAGAGAGCGGCGGGGCAGAGACTCATTCCGGGGGGAGGAGATTATTACTTTTGCATAAAGGCGGCGAGGGGGAGGACAGGAACCCAATTCAGGGAGCACCAAGGACCCCACAGTCCTCAGCCGCCTCCTCTATTCCACAAATCTCATTCCCTTCCAGCACTGATCATGTGACCTAGTTGGGTCATGAAACGTGTGCAAGAAACCCAGCAAACTCCGAAAGCACCAAAGACCCTACAGTCCTCCTCTTCTTCTACTCAATAAACCCCACTCCCTTCTAGCACTGATAATGTTACCAAGTTTGGGCCATGAAACGTCTGCAAGGAAACCGCCCAGCTCAGAGAGCACCAAGCACCCTTCAGGGTTTTGTGAAGATGACCGTTGCATCCAGATTGCAAAAACCACGTTTTTCTTTTCTCTTCCCCCTTTCTTCCCCACTCCCCCACCCCTCTGCAAAGATCCAGAAGATAATTTGGCACGAGGAGAATTGTTCCTGCTGATCTTGTCAGTTCTATGCCTCCTCATGACTTTTCCCGTTTCGATCTGGTTCTGCTTACAGGTAAAATAAAATGAATAATACTTGGACGCCCTTGGCATTGATAAACTCTGCATCAGTCAATTTCAAAAAGTTCACGCTTTTCACATCCCATTTGCACTTGTTAACCTGTTTTAATAGTCTCTCTCTCTCTCTCTCTCTCTCTCTCTCTCCCTCTCTCTTTCTCTTTCTCTCCCTCCCTCTCTCTTTCTCCCTCCCTCCCTCTCTCCCTCTCTCTTTCCCTCCCTCTCTTTCTCTCTCTCTCTCCCTCCCTCTCTCTTTCTCTCTCCCTCCCTCTCTCTTTCTCTCCCTCCCTCCCTCTCTCTCTCTCTCTCTCTCCTTTTTTACATTCTGCCCTGTGTTATGTTTCCGTTTGGGATGTTACAAATGGAGTACAAAATTAGGCTGAAACTTGCAGGGGGATACCTTGTTTCAGGTTGTTACCGAATACGAAGAACCCGTCATCATGAGGTTCGGACATGCACGGAAAAATGTCGGAAAAGGAGCAGGTGAGTAGTTCGTATGAAGCCTTGGTGTGCATTGGGCTAAATTCTCACAGTTAATTCTTCTTCCCCTTTGGGGGGCATGGTGCGGATATTTTATTTTTTTATTTTATTTTAGAATGCCTCTCTTTTATTTTTTTCTGAGGGTGGGTGAAATTAGCAACATTCCACGATTTTGGTGACTTTAAGATATTCCCAGAATTCCCCAGCCAACCGGGGGGAATTGTGGGAGTTGAAGTCCACCTATCTTAAAGTTGCTAAGGTTGAGAAACAGGGCCCTTATAGGCCCTAGAAGCTGCTCATGTTTTTCAGTCTGCAGAGTCCCAGTTGACGGTTTTTCTTAGAACTAACAAAAAGGATGAGGCACCTGAGATGTTTCCTTCACCGTGTGGTTGATTTGTTTCGTGGGTTTGAAGTGGATGTGTAGTTTTTATTTTGATGGCAATGTCATTTCTTTTCCCAAAGGGGTTTATTTCATTCTGCCCTGCACGGACAGTCTTACCAAAGTCGACATGAGGACAAAAGCAATAGAATTGCCCTTCCAGGAAGTGAGTGTTTCTTTTCACTGTTTGGTTATGAGGATCAAATGTTACAGACTCTCTCTCTCTCTCTCCCTCTCCCTCGATCTATCTGTCGATCATATCTATCATATCATATGTCTGTCTGTCTGTCTGTCTATCTATCTATCTATCTATCCATCCATCATCTACTTACCTACCTACCTATCTAATCTACCTACCTCTATCTATCTATCTATCTATCTATCTATCTATCTATCTATCTATCTATCTATCTATCTATCTCTCATGTTGCCCAGGGAGTCTCAAGCTGGCCATCCTTTGGTTTAAAAGTTGTTTGCAATTTTGGGTCTCCCATTGTATACTACAATTGATGGTAGTCTAGTTTGGGGACATCTTGGATTTTAATCCCTGTGTTATTTATTGCTTAATTTGTGAAGCACCCAGAATCGCTGAGAGTTGGGTGGTGCAGATATTAATACTACATTTTCCACTGGAGGTTTAATAGGCTCCTGTAGTTTAGTGCGGCAAAGTGGTCTAGAGTGAAAACTGAACTAGAACAGAACAGAACAGAACAGAATAGAATATGGAATAGAATAGGAATAAGAATATAGAATAGAATAGAATATGGAATAAGAATAGAATAGAATAGAATTAAGGAATGGAATGGAATAGAATAGAATATATTGGAATACAGAATAGAATGGAATGGAATAGAATAGAATAGGATAGAATAGAATAGAGATGGAAGGGACCTTGAAGGTCTTCTAGTCCAGCCCTCTGCTCCAGCAGGAGGCCCTCTGTTCAATCTTGAGTTTCTTCCAGATTCACTGCCTGACCCTTCCCTTAAGACACAGCAACTGTTTTTTAAAGCTGATTCAGGACTAACTGCCCGTAAATCTAATCATTGTTAAATAGATTACGTATGCTGGTCCAGCTGACTCAAGTTTAACTGTCTGGAAATCTAATAATCTTTAAGCCAATTAAGTTTGCTGCTGTCGAATTTCTCCAACGATGTCTTTCCATCCTCTCTCCTTTGTGTTTCTGTTCTTTTTTTTTTTCCTTCAGTGACATTTACCTCTCTTTTTATAAGCAGCGGCTCATCCTTTTGCAAAGCTCGGCTTAAGGCTGATCTTTCGATTTTGGGAGCACGGTGGAAATTTCTGGGAAAGCAAGAGAAAGGCGGGATCCACACATGGGTGTTCATGTGCCCTGCGGTTATTTGGTTTAGATTTCACACGTCGCATGAAATTGACCGCTGTGGTTTCTAAAGTAATACAATATGTGAACCAGGCTGTCCTGGCTTATTTAAACCAGGGTTAAAGCAAGCCGGGAGTCATTATTTGAGATGGGCAGCAGCACAAAGGGGAGAAATAAAATGAAATGTGGTCAGCAGGAAAAACTGTGTTTCTCCCCCAAATCAAATTACATGTAGCCCTTGACTTGCGACAAAAACAGAGGTCGGAATTTGTGTTGTTAAGTGAGTTCGGCCCATTTTACAGCAGTTGTTAAGTGAAACACTGCAGTTGTTATTAACACGGTGGTTAAGTGGATCGCAGAAGGGGATCACGGGGCACCGCGACCGTCATAAATGTAAGTCAGTTGCCGAGCCTCAGAATTTCGATGTGGGGATGCTGAAACGGTTGTTCAGTGTGAAATATGGTCCAAAGTCCTTTTCCTCAGCTCCATTGTAACTTCGAACCGTCACTAAATGAACGGTAGTAAGGTGAGGACTGCCTACACTTACAAATCCATGTCCGAGCAATGATATGGTTTGTGAGTAATTAAGATGATGGCGAGATGATTAGATAAAGATGATCCTCCTCCATTCCGTCTCTCCTTGCAGATTTTTACTAAGGACCCCCTGATCATTGATGTCGACGGGGTAATTTATTACCGCGTCCAAGATGCCTTCCTTGCCGTAACCAAAATCTCCGATGTGGATGCTGCCACCAACCTTTTAGCCAAAGCCATCATGAAGAACACACTTGGGGCTCAAACCCTCTCCCACCTCATCTCCGACAGAGAAAAAATTGCCAAAGAGATCCAGGTACACCCACCAGGGCCAAAGCACACAGAACAACATGTGGAGTTACTTCGGAGGAGAACCTATACCATTTCAGACAAATGTTTGTCCAATCTCTTTTTATAAACTTCCAGTGTTCGTGCACCCACAACCTCTGGAGAAAAGCTGTTCCACTGATGAATTATTCTCACTGTTAGGAAGTTCCTCCTTAGTTCTAGGTTGCTTCTCTCCTTGATGAGTTTCCATCCGTTGCTTCTTGTGTTGTCTTGAGGTGCTTTGGAGAATAGGTTGACCCCCCTCCTCTTCTTTGTGGCAGCACCTCAAATATTGGAAGACTGCTATGCTGTCACCTATAATCCACATCTCTGTACTTTTTTTCACCAGGTCCTGCTAGACAACATCACACGTGACTGGGGAGTCAAGGTGGAGCATGTGGAGATCAAGAATGTGAAGACACAAGTAAATGTAAGAGGGTCAGTGTGAAGATATTGGGTTTATTCTTCGCTCTTAACCTACAATGCCCTTGTTTGGGTTTCTATCCTCCACACCTACCAACTGTACGGATTTCTATCTCAATACACCGGGCAGATTTAGTCAGTTGTAACTTAGCTAAGTAGGGCGGGGGTTACCACGGTGATGTCAACGCTGCTAACATCGGATGTTCTTGCTTTGACAACATATGGAGATACAGCCATTTCCCTTTACTTTGTTTTACTCTCAGAGTGGGGAGAGGAATGTGTATGGTAGTTAGTTAGACACAACAATATTGCAGTAGTTGAGAATCAAGTTTTTTTAAAATAAGAAGTGATAAGAAATGGCAGGTTGGAGAACTGGAGGGAAAGCCTGCATTTCAAACTAATTGAAGAATGTGACTTATGACTGTTAATTAGAGGAGGGAATTGCGCTAGATACTATGTGTTCAGGGGAGAGGAATTCAGATTTTGGCTTCACCTATGTACCTGCCGAAGCTATGTTACTCGAATAAAGATTCTTTAAGGAAAACAATGCCTCGAAGTTCTTTGAAGAGTTTCGTCTGTCGGAACCATGACAGGTGATGGAAAAGTCACTCTGCAACCAATCCTCACAGTGGTCTCCTTCCTTCTAGGTTGTCTCCCCAAGGAGTGTGACGCCACAACCACTGAAAGAAGTTTCTATCTTCCTTCAAGATTCTCCTGTCTCCATCCAACTCCGTTGCTTGAAGGCAGACAATGCTCATCCTAGCCCACACATCTCCACTATTATCTTTAGTTAACCAAGCTAAGCGGAAAAGTATTGAGAAGGAAGCCATCAACAGAAGCTGCTTCTCCAGAACGCAGGCTGCTTTGGCAAGAAGCTGGGGTCCTCCAGAACCCAAGGAAGATACAGGGATAGATGTATTTGTTTGTTTGTTTTTAAGGTTCGATATTGTTTCTATTGTTCTCCCTTCCCCACAATACCAATAAAATTTAAAGACAGGGATCACCTTGGCAGCTAGTTCCCTGCGATGGTGAGTTCAGAGCTTATGGATGCTTGAGGTGGCTCCTGGAAGGGAACTTGTTAGCAAAAGGATCGGTTCAGGAACCATGGTTTCTTCATGGTTTGGTGAATAGACTGGCATGAGTTCGTACAACCGAAGGGGCAACAATTGCACAACTTCCTTGAAGGGCACTCTGATTGAAGCACCTCCAGAAGTGGTGGGTGCTCCATCACTGGAGGTTTTCAAGAAGAGACTGGATATCCATTTATTCAGAATGGTATAGAGTGTCTTGCTTGAGCAGGGGGTTGGACAAGAAGACCTCCAAGGTCCTTTCCAAGCCTGTGATTCTATGTTCTCTTTTGGCCAACATCCATGTCTCTTAGCCTGAGATGGGAACGGGGAAGGCCCTTTGGAGACCAAGATGTCAACCCCAATACTTAGAACATAGAATAATAGTGTAGGAAGGGACCTTGGAGGTCTTCTAGTCTAGTCTAACCCTTGCTCGAACAGAAGAACCTAGACCATTTCACACAAATGATGGTCCAGTCTCTTTTCTGAAAACATTGTGGGTGATGGAGCACCCAAAATTTTTGAAGGCAAATCATTCCATTGCTTGATTGTTCTCATGATTAGGAAATATCTCCTTGGTTCTAGATTTCTTCTCTCCTCACTCATCCATTGTTTCTCGTCCTGCCTTTTGGTGCTTTGGAAAAGAGTTTGACACACACACACCTGTCTTTGTAGGAGCCCCTCAAATATTGGAAAACTGCTTCTTTTCATTAGACCAGACATACCCAATTCCTATAACCATTTTTCGTATGATTAGGGGGCTGGAGGCTAAAACATAAGAACGATGACTTCTCTTCCAAAGCACCCCAAAACTGGCAAGCCTTTTTACTGATTCTATACAAGCTTTATTAAAGGCCTTTTTTTCTTCTTCAAAGCAGCAGCAAGGGGTCAAAACAATACAGTTCGTGGACTTGCCTCAGCTACTGATCAGCTTCTGGAGCTATTTGTTAATTTTAATTATTATTATTATTTTAAAAAAAAGTGCCTGTAGGAGATGGAAGGAGACCTTCGAAAGCCGCACACTTTTTCTCCTTCCCAGTAATAATAATAATAATAAAAAAAGGGAGAGATTTCTCTCGTCACACAGCCAGCTCTGCCAAAGCCCTCTCCAAAGGATCCACGTTCCAATAATCATCCTCCCAGCCCAGGAACCAGCCAGTGAAGGTAGGAGGTTCGAACCCTTGTCGGATGAGGGTGATGGGTGTCCGCCGGTCGCGGTTGGCAGGGTCGGTCTCAATGTATCTCCGTGCTGTAAAAGATGCAACCGGGAGAAAAGCAGCACAGAAACCATGAGTGCTGGAAGAGTGGCGACTATCTGCAGCTCGGGTAGCTAAATTTTGCTGAATTCGGAGAACTGGCTGGCTTCCAGAAGTCCAGTCTAGGCCTCAGAGGCCTGGAGGAGGCCTCCCAGACCTAGAATGGCCCACCGGAAGTACATGGATGACACTTCCGGAAGTCCGTTCTAGGCTTCTGAGGGCTGGAGGAGGCCTTCTGGGCCTAGAACGGCCCACCGGAAGTGCGTGGATGCCACTTCCAGAAGTCCGTTCTAGGCCTTGAAAGGCCAGGCCTGCATCGAATAAGAAAACCGGTTGTTCGGGTATTTGAATTCCAGCACTGGTGTGAAGTGAGGGTCTTGTAATGGGCCAGGTGTGATTCACCAGTGATGGGTCTTGTGATGGGGAAGTTACATCAAGTCAGGGTCATTGGGCGATGAACCGGCACTCCACCAGCCATTCCCTCAACAGACACATCAACCTACAACTACCCTACAGAGCCCTCAGAATCTAAATCAACTGCACAGCCAACCAGAGACAGCACTGACACTTAACCAACCCACACAAGCCCCTTCACCAGCAGGTCACCTCCCAATGACCTGACCTGACCATCACAAGATCCCCATCACATCTGACCCATCACAAGACCCTCACTTGACACCCCCACACCTGAAACCCTTATAAACAGAAGAACACCAACATTGACACCTCCTGAACTCCACTAAAGATGTTGCCTAGCCTGGTAATGAAACCAACCCACCAGCTTGGAGAATGCTGAGATGCTGAGCTGCCAACGAAGAGTTGGATGATGTGAAAGATTGAGGAGTGATCAACTCACCTGATGTTTGGGATTCTGTCTTCTCCTCTTCATGGGCATCTTTCCCAACCCACACAAAGACCTTTGAAGGAAAAGCCAAATTGACGTGATACAGGTGCTTTTTTACGGTACCGAGCAGAGATAATTCCATTTTTTTTTTATTGAAAATTTTTACAGTTTTACAATAAAATAATCCCCCTCTCCCACCCCACCCCCAACCCCCCCCATCACCCTCCATTTATTAATGAGTGGGGCACTTACCTGGTCCCAGGTGTCTAAAAGCATTACGTCATCTGTTGCCAAGTCATCTTGAGTCAACTCTCCGGGTACTTCTTCAATCTAAGAAGTTTGAAATGGAAAATGTCTTTAAAACAATAAGGTTAAGGCTTAGCTCTCTGACCAGGTAGTTGAAAATCAGGTCTTTCTCTGAATTCTCAAGAGTTTTCACTGATTTATATTGATGAATAACTATCAATTATTTGATTGTTTTAAATCTATTGGCCACCCAACTCCACAGGACACAAATTCTCTTTTGGTTATGTCCAAATAACACCAGAGTAGCCTCTGTCCCATTCAACATGTCGTCTTCTTTAATGACCAAATGCTTCTGAGAAAGGGGCTGCCATTATTTAAAGACTTATTTTTTAAAAACATTTGGAACTAGTACTGATCTTCCTTGTTTTACGACCATCACTGAGCCAAAAAAATTTTTTATTGCTAAGCGAGATAGTTGTTAAATGAGTTTTTACAACCTTTCTTGCTACAGTTGTTACGGGAATCACAGGGATTGTTGAGTTAGCCCGGGGGTCTTCAAACCTGGCCCTTTTATGACTTCCCCCAGAATTCCTGAGCCATCATGGGGGAACTATGGCCCCTTCATGACTTGTGGACTTCAACTCCCAGAATTCCTCAGCCAGCATGGGGGAACTATGGCCCCTTCATGACTTGTGGACTTCAACTCCCAGAATTCCTCAGCCAGCATGGGGGAACTATGGCCCCTTCATGACTCGTGGACTTCAACTCCCAGAATTCCTCAGCCAGCATGGGGGAACTATGGCCCCTTCATGACTTGTGGACTTCAACTTCAACTCCCAGAATTCCTCAGCCAGCTAAGGTTAAGGAATTCTGGGAGGGCCAAGTTTGAAGACCCCTGAGTTAGCCCCATGGGTGTTAAGCTATGTTGTTAACTGGTTGTTAAGGATGTGTGTTAACCTGCCAACCAAGTTAGGCTTCAGCTACTCACGGTGAAGCGTCCACTCTTGTTGGAGCAGGCAAAGAGGCGAGGGGGGTGAGCGTCCATCTTTTTATCCTTCAGCCGTGGGGAGGTGCGGTACGCAGCCCTTCCGCCGAGAGCTTCCCAGAAACTTTCTGCAAAACAGACCAAGAGCCTGAGTGAAGCTTCTTGGTCAGTGCTTCCTCTCATGAGAAAAGGTGGGCTTGGGGTGAAAGATCAGTGTGGATTCACACGTTATGCTGAACCACAACTGAAGAAACCACCTTCTCTTTAGCCTGAGGCGTAAACCCGACTTTTAATTTCAGACATGCATTTCAAACCTGGCTCTCGGCCTTCTGCAACCTGAGTTGCCTGTGCTCCCAAAACATTCAACAGCTCCTGAGCTCCTGATTTTTCGGTGTTGCTGGCTCCCTGGCCCACCCAGACATAAGCAGTTGTTGGGGTCTTCAAGACAAAGACATCATTGGAATTCAGTTCTTTAGCAGCCGGGCTGATCTGTAAAAATACGAAGAGGACGTTGTGTCAGCTGCTACGGATGCTTGCTTGTGCTTCGCAGCTATGTGGCGACAGACTGCCATAAACCGTGGGAAGGCGGAATGAAGGGGAGAATGCTTGGGGAAGCGGAAGTAACTGCTGTATGTCCTTGAGACGCTGCCTCAAGGTCACCCAGCTGGAAGAAGGAGGCAGTTACCTATCAAACTACGCTTGGAGTGACTGTTATGAAAACATTCTGCGTGAACCTGATTCGTGATACTGGGGTGGGCAATGAGATAAGGGAGGGAAAAGTAGAACTTAGGGATTTGGCCATGCGATTCTCAGTCCTGGCTTTACACTACTGCAATACATTTGATCTCTAATAAACTTTACTTTCTCAACCAATGGAGTTTCTATTTAGAAGTTTAAGTCATGGCAGATCTGACACACATCCTGGGATTAACTCCTACCAAGACTCAGATGCAAGATAGGTGCCATTTTTGGCTCAGTTTGATTGGTCACTGGTTTTTCTTGTCCTCAAATTTCATATTTTAAGTCAGGTACCTCAATGGCCCGGGTTGCACCAGATGTGCTGGAACGAACTTGGAAGAGCCGTGTTGGTGCCGGGCTGGTCTGACCACCTTCTCTGGAGGTGCCTCCTTGGAATATGATTAATGGTTTCCCATCAAAGATGCTCATGAGGTGAGGGGGCTCTTTGCCCTGGACCACTCGTTTCTACCAAGGAAGAAAAAAAAAAATAACAGGGTCAGTCTTCAAGATAAGAAAGGTTTGGGGAACAGGAGATCATGAAAATTGTGGAAATGCATATTTATTGCACTTAAAACGGTATATAAGTCTCATAAATAAATAAATAAATAAATTATCAAACAGATGAAGGATCTGAGAGGTCCTGAGTGCTCTCTGAGCTTGGTAGTTTTCTTGCAGATGTTTCATGACCCCACTAGGTAACATCATCAGTGCTAGAAAGGAATGGGGGAGGAGGAGGAGGAGGAAGGGGAGGTGGGAGAGGACGAGGAAGAGGAGCAGGAAGAGGAGGAGACTGTGGGGTCCTTGGTGCTCTCTGAGCTTGGTGGTTTTCTTGCAGACGTTTCATGACCCAACTAGGTAACATTATCAGTATTAGAAAGGAATGGGGGAGGAGGAGGAGGAGGAAGGGGAGGAGGAGCAGGAAGCGGAGGAAGAGGAGGAGGACTGTGGGGTCCTTGATGCTCTCTGAGCTTGGCTGTTTTCTTGCAGACGTTTCATGACCCAACTAGGTAACATCATCAGTGCTCAAAAGAAGTAGGGTTTTCTCTCTTGGTAATTCCTTGATAGAGTGAAAAGAACTTGGCAGGAAGAACCACCAACTCAGACAAGGCAGAAACTGAAGAGAATAGAGAAAAGTTGAAGTTCTGGAGTCCTTGGTGCTCTCTGAGCTGGGTGCTTTTCTGGCAGACGTTTCATTACCAAATTAGGTAACATCGTCAGGACATTCAGTAACCATCATCAATGAAAGCTCTGCCAGAAAACCACCAAGCTCGGAAGAGAACCTTCAACTCTGAGCTACAGATATTCTCCTCTATCAAATTAAGGATCTATTTTAAAGCCGAAGCGAGGACTAAAATCATGTGCAGGTGACCTTTTTTTATTCATTTTCTCTCTCCCCCATGTTTCTTTTGTCTGAGGATACCAGGTTTCAGCCCAGTTTGTTGAGCTCTCTGGGGAATAACTTGTTCATCTTTCAGATTTCCCCCCAGCATCTTAGTCACGCTTGAATGGAAGACCTGGATCTTTTTGAAGCACTTAAGACAGCACAAATCTATGTTGATCCTTTATCTCTTTCTTCCTCTTCTCTTGACCAAAGAATGCTGCAGAAGGTCTGCCTTATCCAAAACATCCATTCTGCATCTTGTCCCTTTCTCTACTTGGGCCTCTGATGTGGTTCCCTCTGATCGATGGTCTCATTGGTTCTCCTCCACCTTCTATCCTTCAGTGCGTGCCCACCTCAAGAAGGGTAAGCTTTCTTATTACCTGCACGGCTGTGCCTCCCAGCTGTTCATCCAGCTGGACAGTAAGAAAAGCTGAGGTGGTGATCTCATCTTGAGTGGAATCTGCACCCTGCCTGGGAAGAAGAAAAAAAAACTTGCAAATGGGTAAATGTTTATGGAGATTCTCCATCATCCAGGTCGCGGCTGCTGTCCAAAACACACTTTCCCAAAAGGAAACTCGGAGTGCTTGGGTATGGTTAGGAAGCCACTGATCTTTGTAGGCTGCACTATCTATGTTTCCTGGTAAAATACATGGGAAAATCCCATTGGAGGAAAATTCCACTTAGGGTTAGGGT